GACTCGCACTAAAGTCCACACCAGCAAGCTACTAGCTAGAGTGGACCAGGAGTTGAGGGAATTGAAGGAGAAGCATGAATGCTTGTGGGGTCAGTATAAACTCAATCAGAAATTCTACAAGTACTCCGAAAAGGTGAGGGATGAGAAACTGGAAGAGCTCACCAAGGAGCAGGTGAAGGTCACTGAAGCACTAATTTCTGAGCAGGCCCAGAATCGGATTTTGTCAGAGGAGCTCGTGCGACAGACGCGGTTGTTAGAGCAGTGTCAGCTCGCACGACAGGCGGATGAGGATTTAATCCGCAGGCTACAGTCAGAGTGTGGCGAATTGAGAGCGCAACGTGCTGAGGCCGAATCGCAATTAGTGGTAATTGAAGAGGATCGCAGGCAGGAGGCAGATCGCACAAAGGTGGAGACGGCGAGGCGTGTCGCCCACTGTCTCAAGGGCTACGCCCACTGGGAAGTGGCGGCGCAGGAGAAACTCACACTGCGTGAGTTAGAGCTTCGTGCAGCCGGGTTGTTGACAGGTGACAGTAGGAGTCGGCGGAAGGTGGCGAAGAAGTTAGACTCTTTTCTGTCGAAGGCGCGGAATACCATGTCCACCCTCGAGGTGGAGGTGTCCACTGCGTTGCGGCGTTTGGGACTGCGCAGTTGAGCGGAAGACTGGCAGGGTAGGGAGTTAGTGCGCGGCAGTCCGTCACGCACGAGGCGAAGCACAGGTTCTGCGGAGTGTAGTGTAGCGTGGTTCCATGCAGGCGTGTAGCGTAGTGCAGTGTAGTGCTAGTTAGGATTTAGAAGGTATAAAGTAGTTCAAGGCGTTTTGCCTTGGGATCTTTCCCAACATCAGAAGTGTAGATCAGGAACTCATTTTCTCTGCGTGTTTGTGTCCTTAGTTCTGTCACCACGCAAGAGGGGCTACAACTTGGCGTTCCACATTGTGTAGCTGAAGGCCTTCGGCCGAATGTTCAGAGCTAGTACATTGGTTAGAGACTTGAGTAGTTCGGATCTACACCTGCGGGTGACTGCCGATGCTCAGAGCCAGTGACTAGTTAGATACTTGAATAGTTTCGCCCCTACACCTTCGAGTGTTTGTTCCTGATTGTACTCCTTCGGGATTTTTCCCCTGAATGCCAAAGTGAAGTTTTGCTACTTCGTGTAAGCCTTGGTTGTAAATTCAGGTTACGCTGCAGCAGGTGCCTTGAGGGTAACCCCTGTAGTATTTCTGGGAATGACAAGTGCCTGAGAATTCAAACTCTTCAATAGATTGTTGTTGTGTTACTGGAATGTTTCTCAGTGAGTCCTTCAGTGCGGACCTGTGTTCTCTGCACGTTTTGTGAGTTGAGAGTGTTGTTCACCGCGTATGAGTGACTTCGATCCAAAGTAGGCAGTCCAAACCGGGTTTCCTACACTAGCAGCAAGCTAGTGGAAGTGTTGTAAAAGCCGGAGTTGGGAGTCACTACCCGCAGCTTCGCTGAGTGTGCTCGCGAGAGACTTCCCCCCTGAAATCTTGAGTAGAGGTCCTAACGGATCTCTGGGTTGTGTTTCTGTAGTTTCAGGTGTGTGTGTGTGTGTGTGTGTTACGCTGCACTGTGCGACCTCCGAGTGCGCTCCGAGTGGACACTTGCAGTATTTCTGGGAGTGACAGTCGCCTGAGAATTCAAACTCCTCAATAGTCTGTTAAACGTGACACTTTGTACCCTGTGTGTTCCTCTGTCCCTGTGGGTTCGACCTTTCTTTCACTATATTGCAGTTTTAGCCTTTAGTGGGTTATTACATTCGTCCGCGCAGGTCCCTCGCTGCAGGCGCAGCGCCGAAGGCGGCTGTGCCGAAGGCGTTGACCGCGGTCAACGGACTCTGTCCAGTTTGTCCATTTCTCTCGCCTCTCCGTCGGAGATCTTGTCTCCGTAATCCCGACCGGCCGAAGGCGCACTTGTCCGTTCCGTCCGTACAGTCCATACAGTCCGTACGGATTTTATTACTCCATTGGGTCCTCGCCCATCCGTGATGCGCTGGCGCCGGAGGCGCCGTACAAGTTCCAACCCCGAAGGCGGATTTCTAGGGCCGAAGGCGGACTTCCCGCCAACGCCGAAGCGCCTATGCGTAGGCGATTCCCGTCCGCCTATGCGTAGGTGCAAGTCCTTCCCGCCTATGCGTAGGCGGCATTCGCGGCGAACATCCCGCCGACGTCAAAGCCTAGTTCGCCTATGCGTAGGCGAACTTCCCTCGCCTATGCGTAGGCGAAGATCTTCGTATCTTTCGACCCTCACAACTTCCTGAGTCCTCATCCGTTCCAAGCATTCTTGGGCTCGTTAGAATCAGCGCGTCAAGCTCTTTCCAACGAAACCCTAACCAAGTCAAAGCGTTTGGGATTTGATCAGATTCTGCTGGATTTCTGTAGTGCCGAAGGCGGATTACGCGCCTTGCGCCGAAGGGGTGCTCCTTCAGAGCCCGTTGTTTAGGGCGGCGTCTGTCCCAGACTTTGCGCCCAACTCCTGGATTCTACGAGATTCTCCAGTTTCACTCTATTTTGATGCACCGATGGCGATTTACGCTGCTGCCGCGGTACAGTTTTCTAAAAATGTTTTAAATTCCTCAAAAATACCAAAAGTGGGGTACCACAACATCATATTTTACATATTAACCTTGTGCAAGACGAATCAGAATCGCACACTGCACACTTTTTATCTTAATCCGAAAATCCAGAGTCACCGATCTCTAGACTCACATTGTAACAAATCGAGCTTGGCAACAAGATAATGATCACTATGTTGGTCTCAGTAGATTCTCTTCCAACTGGCTCTCTTTTATAAACGGAAATCAACAAATCGATAAGCACAGTGTTCACAAGATTGTAGGACACAATAATATTGCAGCTTTTTGTAAAAACATTTGCTGTTACAAAACGATGTGTATCTTCTATGGATCAATATTTTTGAGAAGATTAAAGATTTACATAGGAACGGCGACTGAAGACACCAGACGTAATGATCAAGGACAGGTCGATGATTGAATATAATTCAATTTTTTGAAATCATATGATATGAATGTGGAAAATATGTTCGATAAGATTCAAGGAGTATTTTTTCAGCATCGACAACTCTAAAACGAAGAGACTTCAAAGTCTCTAAAACTTGCAGTAAGGTTTGAAGAAAGCATCTCATGACGTAGCAATGCAGTGACACCTGTGCACATAATGTCTCAGAATTCAACAACTCCTGCAAACTCTTTTTGCATCAAAAAAATTTGGAATTACTCTCAGCCTCCCCTCTCTTGCTCGTTTCTCCTTTTTCACCCTGAATATTAAAACATGGATGACTTGTGATCTCGATGGGATACCATCGCATAAAATAAATTGATAGGTTCCGGTAAGCTATTTGTGTTAACTAATGGTAACATCAATATCTAAAATTTAACATTTTAAGCAATTTATTGTTATTTGGATCCTTTTTTCCCAAAGATTATGTGTCTAATTTTGATATAAAGCTCATAAAGTTCTTATGAGTATTTGAATCGATATTCATTGTTAAATATAAAATAATAAACCAAGGACGAGGAATCAAGTTTGTGCGACTTCCAGTGTGCTCAGGCCATTTGAAAACTTTTGTAGCCAAGTACTTGCATGTTGCTCAAAACAAAATTTTTTTTAAATTCATTTTATGTCATGATCTTGATCATTAGAAAGGCCTAACTTTCTTTCAAATTAACACTAGAATATATATCTCAAGGTGAAAATAACAATTTAAGATTACAATTAAAATCTATAAGAAATAAATAATAGCTGTCAGTTTTCAGACATAAAGACTTAAAAACTAGAGGTTTAGTTATAAAGATACGTAGCTTCTTTACCCCGATGTAACATTACTTACTATTTCAGCATATAAGAAGAGAACAAAACAGCACCATAAATCCAAAACTTTTTCTTTTCTAAATTCTAACCGCTCTTAGTGATAAATCTAGAATTTTCCACTAAAATTTTAATTCTGATATAAAACTCATTGATTTACATTCGTTATCTTACTTATACGAATCTTCCTCATGGATTTTCAAACATAGAAAACGAAGTATGTGTGGCTCACGCTTTGAAATACAAAAGAGATCCACGCCTCAAAATTTTCCAAATCATTGATGAGTCAGTAGATTTAAATGTGTTGTTTCCTGTAAACCTGTATGAGATTATTCCAATACTCTGACTCGTGTGTAATGTTCGGGAAACATTCTTTTATAAGAAATAGATAAATTTGGTGCAGGCTTTTGACTTTTGGATAAATCCTGATGCTAATGATCATAAAGTTTTTCAGCTAGGACGTGCATTTTGTAGAATAATCTAATGAATTAATGAGTTTTTATATTCAAATGCCAATAATTTGGAAACGGAAACAAAGAATGAAACTTTGTGGTTATTCCAAGAAATTCCTCTGAATATTTTTTCCGAACACAACGGTCTCATACTATATTCTCTTGCTTTTAATAATATATGGTTCCATATATATAAGGCTCTCTTCGCCCATACTCAGCTCCCACCTCAAATATCTTGTTTTTTCACGATACCGATAAAATTATCTGACGTTAAACTGGATAGAATTTCCATGAATTCTGGTATCAAGCAAAATTCTGACTGACTTAATATCATATCAACGCATAATGTAGTTATTTCTATTTATAAAGATATAGAACTGTAGTATTTATATCGAAATTTATACCATTCAAACAGCGCACTTAAATTGCACCTCCGTACAAAACCGATCGGAAACAAAATTCAGCAGCCGACTAACGTGAAGAAATCGGTCCCAATTTGAAGTGATACTTACAACCGTAATTATGTTCTCCTTCATTTCGGAATGATTGTTAAGAGTACTTAAATTGTGAATTTTGAATTACAGTCCAAGTCGTTTGGGATCGTCAGGCTGCTGCGGAATTAATTACAAACTCACTCAAAACATACTTCCTGTACAATATTTGAGGCGAGCAAGGAATTACAGCTCGAGGCCACTCCGACCGAACCGAACCGAGTAACACGAAGCAACTGCGTACGCAGAGTGGACAACGTGTACCTGGATGAGGTTAGGCGGTAGGTCGGGCGTTGTCCAGTACTCCGGCGCTCGACGAGAACGAATCCCTCGTTCTATTCTTCGTTCGCTCGCTAGCAGCTCGTATCGAGGTGGAGCTCGACGTCGCCGAGGTTTTGCATCGCACGCATAATCCTCGTTACGCTTGGGCTGATACGATGCAGTCTGTCAAAGACAAAGAGGACGAGGACGAGGCTGCTGCGGCCATGCAGTTTGCCCATGATGAGACCGATGCGATGCAGTCGGTCCAAGAGGACTGCGATGCATGGTCTGTGGAGGCGGAAGCTGGTGGCATGCAGGCTCTGGAGAAGGGAGCTGATCAAGAGATCAAGTGTGACGAAGAGGGTGCACCGTCGAAGCAGCCCTGGGTAGAGGTAGAGGACGAGGAACATATTTCAATCAAGTGCGGGGAGGAAGTGGTGGCTGACGAGGTCGAGGACGAGGAACATATTTCAATTAAGTGCGGGGAGGAAGTGGTGGCTGACGAGGTAGAGGACGAGGAACATATTTCAATCAAGTGCGGGGAGGAAGTGGTGGCTGACGAGGTCGAGGACGAGGAACATATTTCAATTAAGTGCGGGGAGGAAGTGGTGGCCGAGGTCGAAGATGAGGAACATATTTCAATTAAGTGCGGGGAGGAAGTGGTGGCCGAGTTCGAGGACGACGAACATATTTCAATAAAGTGCGGAGAGAAAGTGGTGGCCGACGAGGTCGAGGACGAAGAACATATTTCAATTAAGTGCGGGGAGGAAGTGGTGGACGTCCCAGAGCCGAAGATCCATTTGATTGACAATCTCGAGTTCCGGGAGTATTTTGCTGCTCTGGAGTCGTGTCCAGTCACGAAGCTCGAAATTATCCTGGAGTCGAAATCAAAAGGGCCTCATTTGGTGCTCCGGATCCGTAGCCAGCGAGCTGAGGAGATCGAGGTGACGATCTTCGGGACAGCTGGCCTGTCCATACACGTATCAGTCGACGGCAGTACCCTCTGGGACTTGGACAAACTCTCATACTGGCTCCGAAGCTCGGGGGAAGAAATTCCCTTGGAGGTCGCTGTGTTCGACGCCATGGAGGTGAGAGGATTCTTGGATCTGGTTCGTGATCGACACATGTGGGCTGCAAGAGTTCAGCTGCAGCTACGGCGCCAGGATAGTGTCATTACTATCGGGGACTACGTGTCCTCCACCGCTCATGGTTTATGGCCCGGAGGAATCATGTACAAATCTGGTTATATTGACGACAAATACCCGCTCGCGCTGGCTTTCTGATTGTCCTGAGAGGTTACACGATCATTGGGACCGTCACAGCGCTTGGCCATCGAACTCATACGAGTTCATGGTGTACGTCCGATCTCATTGTTAAGTTGAGGAAAGTGAATGCCTTTCGGTGATGCACATGCTCATAATCTAACTCCTTAGTCAGACGCTCAAGTTGCATGACGGGTATGTTGAGAAATTGCGTTATGTACACATGAATACGAGCAAGGGTGAGTCCACCCTTGCTCGTAGTCTCATCCAAGAAGACAACGCTGTACATCAAGTACTTTTTACGTTTTGTTATTCTCCGTCATATTACTGGACCAGTTTTCAAATTTCTCATAGTTGTTATCGATTTGTGCTTATGGAATGTCACGATGTGTTAAATTACTCACATAGTAATAACCTGAGAAGTATGAAGGAAATATGAAGGAAGCATTGCTATAAGTCTACATGTCGCTAATACTAGTAAGTTCCGTAGCATTCTATTATGAAGACCACATGAACCCATAACAGTAAGAAAAGTTTGTCACAAGTCCAAATACCTCATGATCTTAACATAAAGCTCTTGTTCGTTCAGTTATTATCCAATTAGGCATAAATTTTAGAACTCATGTAGATGGACATCTGTTGTTGAAGTCATGAAATTCATCTTATGCTTATGCTCGGCAATGTTTGTGTCGTTAAGAGAACTTTCATATTTTGGTCTCTTCTGCTAAGTATTTCTTGAGGTCATTTTTTGTCCCTTGAAAAATTGTAAGTAAATATCATTTACGATTGTGTCTCTTATTCAAAAAGTATGTTTGGACAACATACCTCGTGAACAATTCGCATCTCTTCATGCATGCTCTCTTTATCTGGCAGCTCGAGGTTTCTTGTGACGTCCAGCTGGCAAGCACACATAAAATGTTAGTCTACCATTGAACGACCGAGTTATCTGGTTCCCATATGATAATCATTTGTGATTGTGATCGACATTAACTTGTCACAGCCAACCGGTAGCAATAACATTGGGTTGCCGCTACCGACGGCAGCCCAAACTCCAAGCATCGCTGAACAACCAATTCATGCTGGCTGCGCTGAAGCATTCGCAGGATTGTGCAAAGCATTGCACTTGGTTCATGAAACGGATCACACAAGTCCAACGGCCAGCTCTCGATTGAATTCGGTTTTGAATCACGAGCTGGCATTCATGCCATTCGAATCTGCAACGGCAGGCATGCAGCTCGGTCGTTGTTTCGGATGGAACTCTCAGCAAATGTTGCAGATTGTGACGAGGCCGAGTCAAGCATTGCACGTCTTTGGTCGAGCCTCAAGCAACCGAAGGTTCCTCTAGAAAGTCAGAAGAATCCGAACGTAATTCACGTGCGCCTGGGATGAAATTCTTCACTGCGTCCATTTTGTGTTTGGTGAGCTTGGGCGTCGTTCATCGGGCAATGTGCAAGACTTATCAAGTCGCATGTGAGAATATCATACTCTCGTATTTTAGCGCATAATAGAAAACTCTGAGTCCATGGTTGGGAAATGCTTTCCGATATTTTATACCCGGAGAGAGTCAATTCTCGACACAACACACAGGAAGAGCGAAAGCAAGCTATTGTGCTCATTATATTGGTTGATATGACGGCACTCCATATCATACGTTCGAGTCTAGGTTTGTTACATGCTTGGTTCTTTTTGGGCACTCCATATCATACGTTCGAGTCCAGGTTTGTTACATGCTTGGTTCTTTTTGGGGCACATTCACTTACTTGATTACATTTTGATCTTTTTCAAGGTCATGAGACTCTGTCACTGGAGGTCATGAAGTCGGAGACATATGGATGACTTGGCTTGCTGACAGAACGGAACGCCAGGCCAAAGGCAGCCTGGGGTTGATGTCACAGAAGTTACAAGCACAGGAAACTCTTTGTAATCTAGATGGGAAGGGTTTTGCATCATCATGCACAATTGGTGAGCCACAATACAACTGCATACTAATGCGGCTAAGTCTGAAGTGTGCGTTTGTCAGGACTGGATGGTTCGATCTGTGACATGGCTGAATAAGTGAAAGCAAGTTCAAATGCAGCAGTAGTGGTAGGAAGTCGAATTTCGATGACGAAAGCTGAGAATCTGATTTGATTTCAAGGCAGCAAGCCCCGAGTTGACTGCAGACCCGAAACTGCCATACAATACTCAGCTACAGAGTCCAGAACCTTTAAAAGTGAAATTTAGAAGTGAAGCTTAGTCAGACCATGACAAATGAATTGGATATGGACAGTGCTTGCTGGTGCAAAGCGCACATTCCTATACATACAAACGCCCTAGATTCATAGAGAGAACAAAAACTGACATCAGAAATAAGTGCCTTGATAGACCTCTTGAACACACATGCGTTAGTACCTTTATAATGTGGGAGTGTGCATGTATCATGATCAAATTATGAAGTCCGTGGCTAGATTCATTAACAGTCTGAATAACAAACATATTTACACAAGGCATTGATGATGAAATTGGTTAAATTCCACTCCAAATCACAGTACTATCTAATACTTTAGATCTATCATCTCACGGAAATCTATGTACCCGCAAATAGGATGATTTCAATAAAAGAATGATAAATTTTTGCCCATACCTTCTTTCAGTCCACTCATCCTCATCAGCATCAAAGCCTTGTCAAAAAACAAATTGAAAAGATCCTCGAAGCAGCGGATAAACTCGTAAGAGAATGAGAAAACACTGGAGATGAAGCATAGTGGTCAGTCGTTTCTACCCCAGCTCCTGGCACATTCTTTCAATGCAGCGTGCTTTCTCAATTAGCAGGCACATATTCTGCAACTATAAGATAGATGCAACCGTACATACACGAAGTCTTCCCGTGTGATTCCGGATCCTTGTCTCTACTAACTTATCTATCTATCCTGTAACATAGAGCATCGGATTTGTAGCGTGGATTGATCTTGAACAAGGTAAGATACAGACGAATCTCAAGGTGAATGTTCAACGTTTTGATCTGGGGTTTTATGGAGAATGCCTGACTGTCATGTTGGCTGAATGTTACGAATCATTCGTTCTGAAAATAGTTCATCTAATGAAAGTATTTTGGTCCTGCTTAAGACGGTGGTACACATTACTACAGGATGTCAAGCATTGGACTAGCATCTAGGCGGTTATGGAGTATTCGAATACCCTTCTATAACTAAAGCTGATCCGAAGATTGGAGGGCACGAGAGGTCAAATACATTTTCTTAGTAATGTAGAAAAGCTGTTAAATTGGATGCAAGCAAGTTCCCCGTCCGTTACCTAACAATCACCAGTTTCTAGCGAATCTGTTCCGTATATTCATATCTGAACATAGTGATCAGCCTGAAGGTGGCATCAAGACCATGTGCACCAAAGAAGATTTCGAAATTTTCATTCATCAAATTAACAGTTCAATTGACCTCTCCCGTAAGAATCTCTCACTAAACATATCAGAATCCGCTACGATCTCAAGCACACACTTCAGACTTCGCCGTATTAGTATGTTGTTGTATTATGGCTCACCAATTGTGCATGATGACGCGATACACTTCTTCAAAGAGTTCCTGGGCTTGTAACCTCTGTGACATTAAATACAAGCTGCCTCTGGCCTGGCGTTCGCTTCCAAAAATGAACTCTCTGTCAGCGAGCCAAGTCATCCATATGTCTCCGGCTTCATGACCTCCAGTGTCTCATGACCTTGAAAGACTTCGAACTGTCATCGAGTAAGTGAATGTGTCTCAAAAGGAACCAAACATGTAACAAACCTGGACTCAAAAGTATGAGATCGAGCGCCGTCATATCAACCAATATAATGAGCACAATCGCTTGCTTTCGCTCTTCCTGTGTGTGGTGTCGAGGACTGACGTTCTCCGGGTATGAATTATCGGAAAGCATTTTCCAACCATGGACTCAGAGTTTCTTATTATGGGCTCAAACACGAGAGTATGATATTCTCACATGCTATTTGATAAGTCTTGCACTTTGCCCGATTAACGACACCCAAGCTCACCAAACACAAAATGGACGTAGTGAAGAATTTCATCCCAGGCCCACGTGAATTACGTTCGGATTCTTCTGACTTTCTAGAGGAGCCTTCGGTTGCTTGAGGCTCGACCGAAGACGTGCAATGATTTACTCGGCCTCGTCACAATCCGCAGCATTTGCTGAGATTTCCATCCGAAGCAACGACCGAGCTGCATGCCTGCCGTTGCAGATTCGAATAGCATGAATGCCATCTCGTGATTCGAAACCGAATTCAATCGAGAGCTGGCCGTTGGACTTGTGTGATCCGTTTCATGAACCAAGTGCAATGCTTTGCACAATCTTGCGAATGCTTCAGCGCAGCCAGCATCCATTGGTGGTTCAGCGATGCTTGGAGTTTGGGCTGCCGTCGGTAGCGGCGTGTTGGTTGTGTACAAGTTAGTGTCGATCACAATCACAAATGTTTATCATATGGGAACCAGATAACTCGGTCGTTCAATGGTAGACTAACCTTTGATGTTTGCTTGTGAGCTGGACGTCACAAGAAACCTCGAGCTGCCTGATAAAGAGAGCATGCATGAAGAGAGGCAACTTGTTCACGAGGTATGTTGTCCAAGCATACCTTGTGAATAAGAGACACAACCGTAAATAATATTTACTTACAGTTTTTCCAGGGACAAAAAATGACCTCACGAAATACTTAGCAGAAGAGACCAAAATATGAATGTTCTCTTAACGACACAAACATTGCCAAGCATAAGCATAAGATGAATTTCATGACTTCAACAACAGATCTCCATCTTCATGAGTTCTAAAATTTATGCTTACTTGGATAATAAGTGAACAACCAAGAGCTTTGTATTATGGTAATGAGGTCTTTGGATCGTGTGATACAGGTTCATGTGGTATTCATAATAGAATGCCTCGGAACTTAATAATATTAGCGACATTTATACTTATAGAAATGCTTTCTTCATATCAGCGAGGAGATTTCAGGTATTACATCTGTAAGAAGAAGAAAAACCTACTTGTCAGGTTATTACAGTGTGAGTAATTTAACACATCGTGACATTCCATAAGCACAAATCAATAACAATTATAAGAAATTTGAAAAGTCGTCCGGTAATATGACGGAGAAAAAAATACGTAAAAAGTACTTGATGTACAGCGTTGTCTTCTCGGATGAGGTTACGAAGTGGACTCACCCTAGCTCGTAGTCATGTATACATAACGCAATTTCACTACATGCCCGTCATGCAACTTGAGATTCTGACTAAGGAGCTAGATTATGAGCATGTGCATCACCGAAAGGCATTCACTACCCTCAACTAAACAATGAGATCGGACCTACATTATGAACATGTATGAGTTTAATGGCCTAGTGTTGTGACGGTCCCAATAATCGTGTAACCTCTCATGACAATCAGAAAGGGGGGAGCGGGTATTTGTCGTCAATATAACCAAATTTGTACATGATTTCTCCGGGCCATAAACCATAAGCGGTGGACGACACGAAGTCCCCTATAGTAATGACACTATACTGGCGCCGTAGCTGCAGCTGAACTTTTGCAGCGAACATGTGTCGGTCACGAATCCGATCGAAGAATCCTCTCACCTCTATGGCGTCGAACACAGCGACCTCCAAGGGAATTTCTGCCCCAGAGCTTCGCAGCCAGTATAAGAGTTTCTCCAAGTCCCAGAGGGTACTCCCGTCGACTGCTACGTGTATGGGCAGGCGAGCTGTCCCGAAGATCTTCACCGTGATGTCCTGAGCTCGCTGGCTACGGATATGGAGCACCACATTAGGCCCGAGTTTCGACTCCAGTCTAATTTCGAGCTTCGTGACTGGACACGACTCCAGAGAAGCAAAATACTCCCGGAACTGGCGATTCTCAATCGAATGGATCTTCAGCCCCGGAACGGGCATCACTTCCTCCCCGCACTGCATTGAACCATGTTCCTCGTCCTCGACCTCGTCCCCGGGCTGCTTCGACGGTGCACCCTCATCGCCACACTCCACTTGATGAACTCTCTTCTCCAGAGCTTGTATGCCACCAGCTGGATACTGCATCGCAGTCCTCTTGGACATACTGCATCTCATCGGTCTCCTCATGGCCAGACTACATGGCCGCAGCAACCTCCTGCTCCTATTCCTCCTCCTTGTCTTTGACAGACTGCACCGTATCAGCCCAAGCGTAACGAGGATTGTGCGTGCGATGCAAAACCTCGGCGACGTCGACCTCCACCTCGGAACGTGCTGCTAGCGAGCGAAACAAGGAAGAATAGAACGAGGGCTTCGTTCTCGTCGAGCGCCGGAGTACCCGACGACAAGGCCCGACCTACCGCGTAAGTGTGCGACCTCATCCAAGTACGTTGTGGATGCGTAGCGTACGCAGTTGCTTCGTGTTACTCGGTCCGGTTCGGTCGGAGTGGGGCCGAGCCATAATCCCATGCTAGCCTCAAATGTTGTACAGGAAGTATGTTTTGAGCGACTTTGTAAATAACTCCGAAACAGCATGACGCTCCCAAACGACTCGGACTGTAACTCAAAATTCACAAATTTAGTAATCTTAACAATCATTACCAGAAGAAGGAGAATATAATTACGGTTGTAACAATCACTTCAAACTGGGACCGTTTTCTTCACGTTCGTCGGCGCTGAATTTTGTTTCCGATCGGTTTTGTACGGAGCTGCAGCTCAAGTGCGCTGTTTCAACGGTAAAATGTTCGATTCTAATACTACAGTTCTATATCTGTATAATTACAAGTGACTACATTATGCGTTGATATAATATTAAGTCAGTCAGATTTTGCTCGATAATACAATTTCTGGAAATTATATCGAGTTTCACGTTAGATAGTTTTATCGTTATCGTGAAATAACAAGATATTTGAGGTGGGAGCTGAGTACGGGCGAAGAAGGCCTTATATATGGAACCATAGCTAGAGAATATGGTATGTCACCCTTGTGCTGGGGAAATAAATTCAGAAGAATTTCTTGGAATAAGCACAAATTTTCATTCATTGTTTCCGTATCCAAATTATTGGCTTTTAAATATAAAACTCACTCATTCATTATTTTATTCTACAAATTGCATAGTTTATGATCATCCCCATCAGGATTTATCTTAGAGTCAAAAGTATGTGCACAATATAAAAGAATGTTTCCCATACATTACAAACGAGTCAGAGTAGTGATATTATTTCATATGGTTTACAAAAACCAACGCACTTTGGAAGGAAAGACTTATCATTGATTAGAAAATTTTGAGGCGAGAATCTCTTTTGAATTTCAAAGCGTGAACCACACATACTTCGTTTTTTTAAGTTAGAAAATCCATGAGGAAGATTCGTAAAAGTAAGATATCAAATATAAATCTCCTGAGTTTTATATCAGCGTTAAAATCTTAGTGGAAAATTCTAGATTGATCACTAACAGCTGTAAGAATTTAGAAAAGAAAAAATTCTGGATTCATGGTGCTGTTTTGTTCTCTTCTAATATGCTGAAATAGTAAATAATGCTACATGATCAGCAGTAAAGAAGCTAAGCATCTATATAACTCAACATCTAGTTTTGAAGTCTTTATGTCTAAAAACTGACCGCTATTATTTATTTTTTATAGATTTTATTTGTAGTCTTGAATTTTTATTGTCACCTTGAGATATATATTAGAGTGCTATTTTGAAAGAAAGTTTAGGCCTTTCTAATGATCACGATCATGACTTAAAATGAATCTTAAATAGTTTATTTCGGGCAACATGCAGATATTTGGCTACAAAAGTTTTCAAATGGCGTAAGCACACAAACTGGAAGTCGCACAAACTTACCTCCTCGTTCCTTTGTTTATAGTCAAAAAACATAATTCTGTTAAACTCAACAATGAATGTCGAATCAAATGCTCATAACAACTTGGTCTTCGTATCAAAATTAGTTGACGAATCTTGGGCAAAAATATCCAAATAACAGTACCCTTTGATTGATATTTTTAGAAATTTTGTAAAAATTTTGTTATCCATTTCCAAATTTTTTTGAATTTAGAAAATTATTCAATGGAATCATTAAAGAACACAACTAGCTTATTGGGACATATCACGTATCCTTTCACCTGATGGTACCCCACCTACGGCACATGTCATCCATATTTTTATATCGATCCAAGAGGAGAAATAAACAAGAGCGGGTTTGAGAGCAAGTCGCGTATAAGTAACATTTTTTTTTTGAAAAAAAGGTTGCAGGAATTGTTGAATTCTGAAATTTTGTGTGCCAAGCTGAGTATCACTGCATTCTTACTTCATGACATGCTAACCTAAAGTTTTAAAGACTTTGAGTTCTCTTTGTTTTAAAGTTGTCGATGCTGAAAGAAGACTCCTTGAATCTAATTGAATATATTCTTCACAATCTTATCATATGACTTCAAAAAATTGAATTATATTCAGTCGTTGCACTGTCCTTGATTATCTTGTCGCCATTCTTTGTGTCTTCGGTCGCCACTCTGTGTAAATCTTTAAAGTTGATAAAAATGTTGATTCATAAAATATCCACATCCTTTTGTAAAAAAAAGCTGCAATATCATTGTGTCCTACAATCTTTCGAACACAGTGCTGATCAGTGAAGATTTGCTGATACCCGTTTATGGAAAAGATCCAACTGGAAGAGAATCTACCGAGACCAACCAGGTGATAATTATTTTCTTGCAAAGCTTGGTTTGTTACAATGTGAGCCTGGCGGCCATTGGTGACTTGGGACCTTCTGACCAAGATGAAGAGTGAGGGCACAGTGTGCGATCCTGGTTTTTAACATAGAAAAGTAGACTACTGCTCACACTCTTGATGGGCAGAATATAGTTACAAGAAATTGATCTTGAACTTGGTGAGTCGGGAAACTATACTTGATGGGTATCAATAAGCTATATGTGTTACGCATGTGTCCCATCAAATAATTATCTCTTTTAAAATATGTATAAAAACTTTGATTCGGAGAAACCGGAAAGGATGGAAAACCCATCAAACTATGAAAAGAAGAAAAATAACCAAGGGCTATGCCAGTGGTTACACCAGAATTAGGAATAACCAAGTATCTGATGTTTAAATTCCTGAAGACCTGAAAAGATGCCAGGATTCAATCTCCAACCTGATCATCTGGACCGCGGCCAATCTTGCACGAGGAATAGATTATCGTTCTCTCGGGATCGAACTTGGACACTCCTGCAACGATACTCACGCCTAGGATATGTGACTAAAATAATACTCCATTGTACCTTATAGCCTCCGACTTGGGATGAATTCTAAGGCTTGACCAACAGTACCATGTACTGCAATATGGGATCATCGGCGAGACCCTCTGGAATGGTTCCTAGACATTCAACATGGGCTCAAATTAGTTTGAACGGAGGGCCAAGACCCTCATAAAGCACTCTCCGCACCCCTGCATTATACCTGGTGACAAACTCGTACCTGGAAAACCGCTTCTAATCTCAGTCACTACTATCTAAGATCAGACCTTGTGGAAATGAAACGTACTCATGGTACTGCTGATTAGAAAAAATAATTAGACTTGACTGGATGATAAATCTACAATCTACAATCTACAATCTACTGGATGAAGTAATGTCTTCGGATGTTTTAAATATCATGTGACATGAACATAAGCGGTTTTCCAGGTCCAAGTTTGTTGTCCTGGTGCAGAGAACGTTTTATGCGGGTGTTGGGCACTGCGCTCAGATTAATTTGAACCCATGTTGAGTTTCTAGAAACTATGATCCAGGGTTACTAAGAGTCTCGCCGTCCCATATTGAACTACATGGGATTGTTGGTCAAGCCTTGGGACTCATCCCCCAGATCCGAGGCTATAAATACGATTGAGTATGATTTTGGTCACATATCCGAGGCGTGAGTATCGTTGCACGCGTGTCCGATGTCGGTTCCAATGTATAGGTAATTATATTCGTGGTGCGAGATTGGCCGAGATCCAGATGATGTGTTCCACTTAATGTGCGTACACTAAGGTCAGAGAATACTCACTCTAGCAATATTGGGAATACTGCTGTGGTCGGTCTACTGATTAGAGGCCGCAGTTCTAGAATTATTCACACGCTGAAATCAAGGTGTAATTATAAACACCTTGATATAAGCGTACATAGATAATGTGAGTTTCTATGGTGAGGGAATTCGAGACAACTTATGGGATCAAAGGTTATTATAGACCAATGAAATCATTTATTATAACCACTTTCTCTGTGGACTTTTAGGTATCAAAGAGTACAAGTCTCAGAAATAAAAATTTTGATATCCACGAAGAATCTTAACACCTAGAGTCGATAAATTTATGGTCAGTGGTTTGAATGGTTGTTCTTTAACGTAGCAAATCTTCATAGTTCGCCGTTGGTCTTAATTTCTGAAGTACATGTGCACAAGAACGACCTCTCTTGGATGGGCTCTAGGAGATCAGAATGATCTCTTCAGATACCAGACGTCTCGATGAGGGTGTGCTAAAATTGTCCTGATAAAGAATAGGAAGAACAACAATCAGAATTAAAGTTGGACTGGAGCTTAACTGCCATCGTGATCTTTCTTGAGACCCTAGTGTAGCCATGCTTAGAAGAAGAAGAATCAGATCCTCAACGTGAAATGCATCAGGCGTATAACGAAATCAAAGGCCTAGTTGTGCAGTTCTAAACATGAAGATGTTCAGGCATCTGTTAATTCTTTTGATGCGGCACTTCAACGCCGATTCATTCATCTCTCTCTTCCCATTGAAGATCAGAAATCCTCAATCCTGGCAACTACAGATAAATATTAGATCAAGGCTCCTGGAGATACTTACAACAGATATGATAAAAGTGTGGAAATATTGTGGAAAAAGTTTTCAACCAGCAATTGAGGCATCTCGGTTTTCACCTCACTAACTGCGTAATTGCCCCAAGCGCAAAGATCAATGTGAATCAATGTGCTCATGAGACATCTCTACTAGTTCTTAAAAGCCAAATTCTATCAAGTAGAGAACTCTGAACTCATAGACCAAAACATGGCAGTAAAGTCTTGAAGAAGATTATAGATCGAGAAAGGCATTCGGAAAATCTGCTCTCTGCAAATCACTTTCTGATTGTGTCAATATTGACTCTTTGACGAAGATGTTCATTTTTGGATATCGAAGCCAGGAGTTCGGGGTCTTGAACTTAATGAGCAGAGGAGTCAGTTGCCGAATGCTTCAACAGCACGCTAAATCTGGAGTTTCTCAAGTTCTGAAGCTACATACCTTCACGTCACGTTTTCTTCTTTTGGACTTGTATTTGATTGGTGCCCCTCCAAGTCCAACTGAAGATCTATCAGGCGGAGCAAGAGGGACTTCAGCGACTGAGTCCCACTTCCTGTCTCGATCTGCTGTCAATGATGAAGATATAGCTGCGTACACGTTCCAGAATTCGTGCCCCAGCATCAGATCTCGTCACGAAGAGTCTGTGAGAGCTTATTAGACAAGAGTATGCAAGAAGCTAGAGAAGGAGAGAAGCTCGAACGTCAAAATTTAACAACGGGATTCAGATCAAAAGAACATCTGATGGCGAGTCTCTGGAAGTGCCTCCCCTGATAGAAGACAGAGTAAGCTCGATCACCATCCTTGATCACTTCAGCAAGCTACAGTCTAATCAAGACTCACGACTAATCCTCAAATTCGGTTGCATGTAGCTGTCTTCGTTCCATCGTTCTCCATGAACAAACGAGCAGCAGCCGAGAACGGCATAGATAAGAATCCACTTGTTTGCCTGTGCAATCAATCATGCCATGTTCATCAGCATCAGAACCCCACCTCCTTTCACTGTACAAGCTCCAAAGGGCTTCCTTCTCTTCGAACTGTACGAAGACAGCCAAAGAAAACCTGGCAGATTATTCCACACTATGGCACTAAAGTGATGTCCTGACCTAGATACACCTGCTGAGAACGAATGAATCTCCTCTCACCTCCTTTCACCGCTCAATCCGTTTTAGCACGTATCAGACCCAGCTAGCTTTCTCCGCCTCTGTGATCAGTAGCAACCTAAGAAATTATCTCTGTTTACATGTGACGAGAGTTCCAATCCTCATTCTATAGCACCGAATGTGTTCCACGTCTATTACGGTTGTGGCTGGTGGCGGTCTGGGAGAGATGACCTTTGCCGAGTACGAGGTAAATGTGCTCTTCCTTTAGCGAATGGGCATAAAGATTTGCTCGTTTCCAGACTTATAGTCAGAGCTCCCTCCTACCTATGGCGATGGAGTGCTGTATATGATCATGACGTCGATAAACAGTAACTCTCTCACATCTCAGCTGAGGGCCCGGGCCCGGGCATGGAAAGGATGAGGACAAGCTGGAGCAGGGTGACTCAGTAGAGGGGACTAGCTATGGTGTGTTGTCATACGTCACTTGTATAAAGTACAGACGGCGTCTACTCGGTCCAGGTTATGAATGAGATAGCTAGGTCGCGGGGAATGCGTCAAAAAAATCTGCGCACGATGACATAGATATGTCATGTCAGTGATTGCCTAGGAAATCTTTGTCTCCCCGTTAGAATCACGGAGCCACACTGTCACGGTAAGGGTATGTCACTGAGACTCATCAACTTGTTCCAGAGGAATCTTTGATCGTGTTTGCATCTCGGAAAATAGACTTGACATTGATACACTCCATCAGATTGAACCACTGTCCGAGAGTGAGTAATAGTTTCAAGTCTCCGACGAAGATTCCTCTTTACTATAACTGTGAAGGCTTACAGGAAATGAGGGTGCAGTGTACATGTAGCGGATTGTAAAGGCTTTTGCGAAAGGTCAATATCCAAACTTTTATCATGACATCCGAAGTCGATCACATCTCATATCAATACAGTATTATTGTGCATACATCTCCAGAAACAAAGAAATTTTTACCTCTCATTCATTTTTGGCAGAAAAATCTCAACAGCTTGGTATGTTATAGTGGAGAGATGTTCATCTGATGGCGTAACTTCTGTCCATCCGAATCTTCTGATTCGGATGGACAGAAGTTACGCCATCAGAAATATACAGCGCATCAATCTTGTTTTGAGTGCTTTGACTGAGGTGCGCCTTTTTACTGTGTTATTTTTCTTCATCCCACAGTCTGCATAAAGTCAACCTTCTGCCCTCCAATTAACAAGCGCTTGACATAGCACGGATACTCTTCAACTGAAAGTAAGTATCATGACGCTACTACAGACCTACATCAGGACCTCCAACTCTGACATGCCATGAGGTAGTAGTGAAAGTATTGACATTCATGCAGTCAGTGTGGGGTGTGAACGTAGGAGAATCTAAATTACTACCAGCCATATTCATCAAGATCGTTTTTTCTCTGGATACTCTTTGGAGATCAGTTCAGAGCTGGGGGTTTCCGAGTTTGAACATTTATTTTCATTGTGTATTATGACATGCAACTTCATCGACCTAACTATCACACAACTTATCTATACTGTAGGCTCAGACGAATGGTTTTGAATAGGCAGATGATCTTGTTACGTAGGTTGTTCATATCATCACGCAAAAAAAATGTCAAGTTGTGCTCACAGCTTCACAACGCTTTGAATCTACAAACAACCGTATCCATGTCATAAACGCCTTGGACATATATCATCCAATCAAGGTGCGGACTTTCATATTCATCGTACTTGATATTTTCCTGGTTGGTGAGGATGCTTTAAGAGAGATGCCTCATCTTCGACTCTTGTCGAGCATAGTCGATTAGTGATACTCAAGCGTACACCAGAGCATCTGATACTCAAAGACTTTTTCATGATTATTTACAAGTCCTCAACAGTGTAAGTTACGTGGTACATCTATAGTACCACGTGTTGTGCACAAACTGAACAATCAAATATGATTTTTTTTTCAGAATTTTACTGCAGTGTTGTTTTACACAAATATCTGCTTTGCGTACTGCTCACACCGGATTCTAGGCTGCAAAGTTTAGGAACCATGACGTATTTGTTAGAAACGAATTAAAACCATTGTTTCCTGCAATATGAACCTTAGAAAGTGTACTCATTGTAAGCTACATGTGAAGGAAATAAAGAATAAGGAAAGAAGAGAGATAATGATATGAGCCCAAATATTCTATGAGACAATTGGTACAAACTTGTTTCGTCGGAGCTCGAACGGCCAATGAAACCAGGTCTTGCCCTTTTTCATCTACAATGTAAGAACCCGATAAAACATGTATATTTAGAAACATAAAAGCTGGTAATGCTTTGACGACAACCCAGAGATGTTACCTCCCAACATCCGACCAGCAAGTGAGGCGATAATGCATCGTCAGTATCTGTAGACTCCATCGCTGAGTTGAGGTTTGGTACACGTTCCTAGACTTGGTGTAACGTTCACTTTGAATCGCTTAGCAGGCAGATGTGTAGACCACAATGTGAATCATGAGAAAGAGTCTGAACGGACGTACACCACGTTGGGGACGCGGAGCCTAGCTCGTTGACTTCATCTCAATGGGCTCCGGAGTCTTGGGACCCCGTGGACTTTCAGCACTCGGTGCACCTTGAGAACGAGTGACCAGAAGAAGATAAAGCTCAATTGGTGGACATTTTATTGAGACAAGGTTGATGGAGTAATTGTCGCTCAATAGAATATGGCTATCAACTCTATTGCTGTCGAGTGTTGCACAAGTTGGACATGCCTCGATTGGACGCAGTCTCAGAAATCTGATGTGGTGTACTGTAAATAAATCTAGTTGGCATTGCTCCGTCAGCAGCTGTGACTAGGAGACTATTGACTGGCTTACATTGCACTCAACTAACTGATACAATGGAAAGGTCAACCTCGCAAGTACAACATGTCGAAGGTAAATACTGTAATGCTTCGCTCCCTTTCCTTGGCAAAACCATTGGATGCAGCAAGCTGTGAAATATGTTAATATTCTTACTCCGTAATCAGTCCAATGGTAAGCATTTCATTTTGATTCGGTAGATAATTGTCCAGGGAACGAAAATTAAAGTCATCTGAAATGCAGGGTACATCGGGCAAGTGCATTATGAGTAGCTCCTTGTCCATCCGAAATTCTATTCCCTTGCTATACTTCCCGAATGTCGTCTGTACTTGTCCCTAAGGCTTATACTGTATAATATTCTAAGAACAGCTTATGCACACAGTGTTAAGAGGAGTCCTGATATCACCACCTTCATTTAGAGTTGCAATATGGGCCAGCGCAGATGACAGACCTTCGTTTGAGAGAACCAGCATGTCAAGTGGGATATGAAGGGTGATGGTATGTAGGAAGCTAACTCCTAGGAAGTTACTGTATGAGAAAAGGACATTCTAATCCACGAGTGAAAAAATAAAAATTTCCAACAAATTACAGACTTACGTACCGATATAAACGAAATTGGATTATCATCAAGTCGTCATCAACATTTAAACGAATGTTGATGACGAGTAATCACATCACAGCCCGTCCATGCTCGTAGTTAAAGCATCTAAGTCACTGTGGCGGGACTTTGAAAGTGTTCGGTTGCCCTACATGGATAGACAGCGGGATCAATGTCAGAAGCGACAAAGAGAAGGCAGACAAATTTGCATAACGCACTGCGATCTATATCCGAATCTTCTGCAGCTGAAAGAAAGAAAGGTCATGAGAAAGAAGAACAGATCCGATGAATGGAACCTTTGGGATCAGACAACAAATCGAAATTCTTCCCAGTAAGGAGGCTTTGAAGACCCGGCTTCCAGCGGTAGAAACGGGAGGAGTCAATCTCTATTGTGTGCTCTAATTTCTTCCAAATCGCAGTTGCTTTCAGAACTCCATAATCGCTGGGTTCACTAAATCATGGACTGTAATTCTCTGCAGGTCCACCTACAAACGCACGGGTAGTTTCTAACCGCATCCCAACTGGCATGAGCAGCAGCTGCTGCTGCGAGGACACGGGAGGTCCAATTCCACCACACAGAACTCCAAAGTGTCAGCATCAAAAAGGCCTGCGCGTTGAAAATCCCGGGCGTACGTGCATTAGTCAGCACCGGGATCGATTTCGCCCACCTCCATCAGCCCGTTCGGAGGACTGGGTCCGATCACGAGCACTTCTGACGAACAGTGATACTGCCAGCGGAATTTTAGGGCAGAGAACGGCAGGAATGTATCAGAGATTTCTTGGCTACCCTTTCCAGGAGTTCTGTGTGTGGGAGGTTATTATAAAAAGGGAGTTTGAATGCTTGTTACTCATCGTAGTACACCGAATACAGTCAATCGTAGGTCACGGTCGCTCACCTAGAGTGCGTTCACGAAGTAGTAGTACAATCTGTCGAGATTGCAAGTGCATTCAGGAGTACAAATCAAATTTAGCTGAGGTGAGCTTATCTCGAGAGTGTTGTGAGAATAGGGAGCTTCACAATGACTAAAAATTTTAGACAAATTTCCTCCGGCAAAGTGATTGTATCCAGGTACGACGGTGTTGTACTACACATGCTTTCTTTTCTACTTCTTCTCTCGGGATTTGCGTTCTCGACCGCCCATGGGGAGCATTCCTTCTGCCAAAATCTAACGGCGTCTCCGACTCTCACACAGTTCGTGGATCCGCTCCCGATTCCTCCGACCATAGACGTCTCCACCGGTGTACAGGTGACACTCGGCGCCTACAAAATAACTCAGGTGAGAAAAGCGCATTTCCTCCGCCCCTCATGTCCAATGCATTGAAAGCAGCATAGACGGAGCTCGCGCTCTCTCTTTTTTCGGACGAAATTCTTGAGTCCAAGAGAAGCTCACGGTGGGGTGAGAAAAGCGCATCTCCTCCGGCGGACATGTCTGATGCATTGAAAGCAGCGCAGACTGAGCTCGCGCTCTCTCTTTTTGGACGAAATTCTCTACTCCGATAGAGGCGTAGGGCGAGAGGAAGGGGCTTCGTCGATGGGGGCATTCGAGACATTTCTTGCTCGAAACATTTGGCGCAAAGCAAGCGCTGGCGGGACTGACGGGGGACGGGAAATGTTGTGCTGCAGAAACTGCACTCGGAGCTGCCCGCGACGACGCTGTACGCGTACGGGACGAGTGAGAAAACCGCGAGCCTGCCGGGCCCGACGCTGGAGGCGACGCGTCACAAGCCGGCGCACATCCGCTTCGAGAACCACATCCCGGACTCGGAAACCTTCCTCATCACCGACACGACGATCCACTGGGCGAACCCGGCGCGCGGCGGCGTGCCCATCGTCACGCACCTGCACGGAGCCGAGGCGCCCAGCGACTCGGACGGCCACCCCGACGGCTGGTTCACGGCGCGCGGCGAGACGGGCCACAAATTCGTCACGCAGAACTACACGTACCCGAACTCGCAGGTGGCCGCGACGCTCTGGTATCACGACCACACCGTCGGCATCACGCGCAACAACGTCCTGGCCGGGCTGGCGGGCTTCTACATCATCCGGTCGCCGAGCGAGGAGCCGCGCAATTTACCCTCGGGGCGATTCGAGGTCCCGCTCATGATCCAGGACAAGCAGCTCTGGACCAATGGATCCATCAACTTCCCTGACGTGGGCGACTCCCCGGACAACCATCCCAACTGGTGCCCGGAGTACTTCGGCGACATCATGCTCGTCAACGGCGTAGCCTGGCCGCACCTCGACGTCTACCGCGCCAAGTACCGCTTCCGCATCGTTAACGCGGCCAACGCGCGCTTCTTAACTCTGTCGCTCAGCGAGCCGTCACTGCAGTTCATTCAGATCGGCACGGACGGAGGCTTCCTGCCCTTCCCCATGTACCTCGACAACCTGACCATGGCCCCCGGCTACCGGACGGACGTAATCGTCGACTTCTCGCGGCTGCCCGTCGGCACCGCCGTATATCTGAACAATTCCGCGCCCGCTCCCTTCCCCAGCGGCGACCCCGATTTCAGCCCGCCCTCGACGAATTCGGTCATGGCGTTCAGAGTCGTCCGCGAGCCTGCGGGGTTCAGAATCCCGCAATTCGCCGTGCCCCGAACAATGGGTCCCATGCCAGTGCCGAGCTATGACTCGAAGAGCGTCATGCGCCGCAGCCTCACGCTCGTGGAGAACGACGATGCCGACGGCAATCCTCTCGGTGCTGTGCTCAATAACCACACCTGGATGGACCCCGTGACCGAGACTCCGAAGGTGGGCAGCGTGGAGATTTGGGAGATCATCAACTTCACTCCCGATGCGCACCCGATTCATATCCATCTCATCCAGTTCCTGTTCTTGAACCAGCAGGCGTTCAATCAGACCGCTCACGATGCCGGCGACTGCACGCTCGATGAGGACTTTCCTCACCCAGAGAGCTGCTTCGTTGAGAGCCCACAGCGGCCGGATCTCACGCAAGTCGGATGGAAGGATACGGTCATCGTGTGGCCGTCCAAGGTGACCAGACTCTGGATCAAGTGGACTCCTCGCGATGGTTTGCCTTTCCCGTTCAATCCCGTCTCCGGACCTGGCTACGTCTGGCATTGCCACATTCTCGATCACGAGGACAATGACATGATGAGACCACTCGCCATGCTCTACTGAGGGTCAGAGAATCGAACGACCACAGCAGGCTGATGAGCATCAGCATAAATTTTGTACATAGTAGTGCTCCATCGGCAGTGGGAGTGGTCAATTTCTGGATGCTTATGGTGCGGATCAATCGATCGAAAGAAGGAGAAATTTACTCAGCTGACGGAGATTTATAGGAACCTTACGTGATAATAACGTATTCGCCGACGACAGATTTACTCTCCAAGATCCTAGAGTTCAAAAAAATGTTCGGTGCTCTAGATTATTTTGGATCATTTTTTTTACTCTATGAATAGAACGATTTTTGACATAGTCGTACAAACCAGTAGGTTCGATAATTTGCAGAAGCTCCTACTTGCTTCTTGCAATTTGACAGCTCATGATGCTGCTTAGAAATTCCAGTCAATAAACAAACGCGCTATATAGCATCTTATGCTGTATATTGCATTGTATATATATATTGCATCGTCAGATCACTATATCTTCTTGGCAGATTATGCAGTGATGAGGTCCACGGAAGAATGTGGCGCTTCAGCATGTCGGGCTTTTATCGTATCGTGCTGCCGTCGCTCTGCCAACAATTCTTCCGGGTAAGCTGGCGAGAGGATTTCCCCAAGACATCTGAAGAAGTACGGATCGTGTTCTGACTAGTCGCCTTCGTGGCCTGGCCTGTCACTGACATTGACGAAACGTTACTTCAAATAGGACGCAGATTTTGTACCAGTCCAATCGTAGACACGGGCTTTAACAACTTTCCTAATTTTGCAATCCTACAGGAATCCACACATCCCTCTAATTTGGGAGTTTCGGACATGATTGTTGGTACGTAACACTCTATTCCCTCAAGCGTAATCGTCGTTCGCAAATAACATGAACATGGCAAATCATTTGCTTTTACTGAGGCCAACATTTGAGTCAATCGCCAGTTCTAGTTTTCGGAGTTCATTCCAGTAGTCAGTGCTGTTAGGGTCTTCGTGATACCTTTTCTTGAGACGTCATTTCACGTCGAAGTTTTTATGTCGGATCGATGAGAGTGAATCTCTCTTCGACCTCAGAAAAAGTTCTTCTTGACATATGCTGAACCAGACTTTGACCGATTTGACATATTCACTTTTTTCTAACATTCAAATCCAGAGTCATAACTGAAGATTCACAACATCACCATGAAGAACAAGGTGGTGAGTGATTCAGTTCTTCTTTAGAAGGCCTGATCATTTTTCGTTGGGAATTGACTTCTAAGGAAAAAAATCAAAGAAGATTACTATTGAAAAGTCTTCTCAAACAATAAAGCAGTCGGTGCTAAGATATGGACAGTCGCACAATTATAGACTCCATGAAGACTCGGACAATGTCTGTGGTCAACGCTATCGAAAATGTTAAGAGATTCGAAGTGCAAGCTGCTGGGAACTACATTCGCTCCGGGACGAAAAATTTTCAAACGCCATGACGTTTCTCGCTAATCCTTTTGACATCATGAAGTCTCCATAGTTCAAGTGAAATCTCAAGAGATTTGCCTTGTACAGGTTTGAAGGTCAGGAAGCAGGAGCAAAGCTGAATACGAGGAACTGTTCTAACTTTTAAGGGGGGTCCGGATTCTCTGCATGTAAGGACATGCGGAGAATCTGGATCCCCCTTAAGAGGTAGAACAGTGGTCCCTGTACATGTTAGGAAACCGTGTCAAAGGTTTTGACACAATAGTGTCTCTCCCATGACTTTATCAGCTGCAGAAGACATCTCTCTCAAGGACACCATTCACAAAGCACTGCAGCTTGAGTCTGTATCTTACTTTGACTTGACTTGACTTGACCTGAATGGGCACCCCTCGCTTCCTGGCATGATCCACTCGATCCCAAAACTTGAGTTGGATCCTCGAGGCCTATTTTTTAATATGTATGGTAAGTACATCTCACTCACTCTGTCGTGGAGCGCTCGAGATTCATGCTTTGGTCTCAACCTTTTGCCCACATCAAGCCATGCAGTTGTTCGCTGGTCAGGGCACTATGACAGTCTAAGCGACTGTCAGCGCAGTGCTAAATTGGAGTACTATAACGTAAACCAAAATGGAGGAAATAGCTGCAGGAAATCCGACGACGACAAAGACTTTTCAGACACAGAAGTGCTATATGAACTCTACCGAGACTTAAGAGTATCACATCCGTAAATCGACAAGAGATTCGAGATCTCATTCGCCCAGAGAGGTTTCAATTCTGGAGTTTAAAAGGGTCGGTCAGAAGCGGAAGAAAAGGAGCATCGTTCAATGAAATATTAGTTCAAGCAGTACCATGTCCGACCAGCAATTCTAAGCTTCAGGATTGAAGTACATCAGGTTTTCATGTGCAACCGAATCAACCGCATCGACATACAGAATGAGCCGCTGTCGAGTACATCTGACGAGAATAAAAGAGCAGAAGTCGTTGCGTCCTGGTCAAAGCAGCTGCGACCCTGGGGAGGGTTAAGCTTGGGAACACTTTCTTTCCCTTGCAGGAAGCAAAACCCTGAAAATTTCAACTCTCTGTTGGAGTGCGGAGAACACAGTCGACTCTCCCGAGACACGTGCCTTCGAGTATTTAACATGGTCACAACTTGGAAATCGATGAACGGCGATCAACAGCGATCGACAGGCATGCATAAGATGATAAAGTCTCACTCACCTGCTCAGGAAACGACGGTCTGAATTCGAATGATCACACATCGAGTTACGGGGTACTATCAGAATCCAATCTCCTGAGAAGACTGTCACATGAGTGAAAAGCAAGAAACTGAATGACAACTGCTCTGCAGGCTCTTATCTGGGGAAGAAGTCTGGCGTGCCGGTTGTACTCTCAGGGTATGGAATGTTGACAGCAGCCTTAACAGATCGCATGACCAAAGCCACAGCATTATTCCTGCGCAAAACTGTCCTCGGGAGTCTTCTCCATGGATCCGACTGCGAGCTGTCCACGATTCAAGCAGAGTGTATATCAAAGAAGATGGAAGAACTGACGAGCTTGTGACTGCGCAGATGCGTTTTTCTTTTTTAGATTTGATCGTCAAATTGACTGTATGCGTCAATGATCGGTGACGCAGGGCAAGGCGGAGGATGCAACCTCCAGCCGAACAGTAGAAGTGGTGGAACAGAAATTCGATCCTGTCGAGGTCAGCGATTCTGAGACACTGATAGCTTTACAACAGCGGGCGGGGAAGGTCAGAGGTGCGCCGCTCTCAGAGTCCCAAAATTGCGCTGTCGACGAGGGCGCGAATTCTTTCAGCGCTGAGGCCAATTTCTGACCACAAAGCCCTATTCGGAAACATATTGAGGACGAAACGAAGGAAGGGACAAATCGCAATGCGCTCTATGCACGGCAGCGATCACATCTGCTCACATTTCTTTATTGGGCTCCCTCCCTGAACATATTGCACATGGACGACTGTGTCGCCAACATTCCACGAAGAACATGTTTCCAGGCAAAGGTAGAGAGGAGGCCCGGATTAGAATTGTGTGGCAGTGTGCTGCAGGCCGTCGCCCGGCACGCTCTGGATCGCCTCGGGCATGTGAGCGGCACGCGACCGAGAAATGGGTGTCGGGAGAATTTTGTCACACCTGCATGGGACCGACCCCCTCGAGCGACCTCATGCAGACGGCGGATCTGGCCCTCCGTGTGTCGAGCCCGTGACGGATCCAGACACGACACTCGAGATCCCGCTGCCGAATTCGAGGGGAATATGAAGCGCGAGCGCAGGAGCGCTCTACGTTTTGCATTCATTGTTCAGCAGAAGGTTTCGCTCCGGGTCAGCAGCTGTTGTAATTGACGACATATCAACATCAAGCGTCACTCATTTCTGCATCAAGTGCTCATTTAGTGGCAGGAGTTTTCATGTTGAAATGCATTCATGGCACCTGAGAGTCAGTGAGAACGACGAGGCAGGCCTACAGCAGGTGTTGATAAGAGTTTCGACATTGAAATAGAGAGAAAGGAAAATACTTCTGTTTCTTTTCATTATTCTCCCTGTCAATGTAGAAACTTTAATTGGAATTCCTTTTTGGAAGATTTTCAAAAATTAGAGCTATGTTAGTGAAGCCGAACAAAATAGGTAGATATTATCAATACATAGTGAAATAAATATTTCCATATATTTGCACTCTGTGCTAAAAGGTTCAGGCCTCATAAATAATGATAAAAGTGGTATAAGCAAATGGTAAAAAAATTTCCACATGACTCCAATGCGACTGGAGATGCGGGGTATCGATCCCCGTGCCTCTCGCATGCTAAGCGAGCGCTCTACCATCTGAGCTACATCCCCTGTACGAAACGAAGCATACATACTAGTTTTTAACCGTTTTTGTAACCTCGCATTTTGTCATGCGATTTCGCACATACGATGCTCCTCACAACTTGATGTAGCGGCCCGAGGCAAGGGGTAAAACTGAAGGTGTAAGAACCATCATATAGGGGAAAAAAACATAGCACAAGTGGGGGAGAAAGTACTAATACCACTAATGGTATATTTCTAGAGTGATTGTAAAAATTTCATTCTCTAGTGATTTTCATGGAAAGGTTTTTATTTTTATTCTTTATCCATAGCTATAATTGAGGCTCACTGAAATGAGATTTTAATTCGCTGTTTGAATATCTAGAAAATTATAGTTTAAGATAGAAACAGCATATCTTTTCCCCGGCAAGGTAGTGCAAATTTTTTACAAAACTAATCCATATTATATCCAAAGTTTCAGATATAAAAACACTCTTGCACCCATTCATACTTGCAAACCTAGCATTAACAGCCGTAGATCATTCAGCTAACCAGTTAAAGTGTATGGGGATCACGTATAATGTAGGATCTCTGATATATAGTTATCTATATCATCGTCTATTATGTTTAGATAGGCTATAGCAAATAATACATCTTTAAGACCGCTAAATGTGGTTAAAATGTTCAAGTGTGCATATTATTTCCTAACAAACTTCCATAGTCTTATATGAACAACCAATAGAGGGATGAGGCGATCAATCTTAGTCAAAATCGTAAGCGAATGTAGTGATACAGTAAGGCAAGATATAATACAAGGACTCTCCATCCGACTTGAACATATGAGAGCTTTGAATAATATGAGTGCAGAATATTGAACTTCTTCACAAACTGGAATGTACATTATTACTTTAGCCATATTGAATTTATCGCCTTATGATGAAACATAATAAAGTGCCCGTAGATCACAGAAAGAAGTGAAGTATGTAACGTACAATTACGTGTGTCACGATCTTTTCTTACCATCTGGGAGCTACTGCTGGTGAGTCCATAAATAGAGACTGTGACGTCAGACAATCGATGCTGGAGAAGTCTATACCTCTTTTATATTTGAAAACGAAACTAGCGTATTTTTGAAAAGCTAAATCTCTAGGGCAACCGTATGGAAGATTAGGAACCGAATACCTTTATCAAAAGAAGATATAAATTATTGCATAAACATAAAAGATCGCAGACATGGAAGTGACATGGAGAAAGGTGGATAATTTTATTATCCGAACCACATTATATCTTCTATCAACAAGTCTGTGTATTCACCATCGTACACAACTTGCTCATTTCTAACGCGTATCGAAAACAGTACATTATTCTTTTGGTAGCCAAGTAACACAGCCAAAAAAACATAAAAGAAACACCCATCAAGAAGTACACGGATGAATTTAAGGGTTAATAAAATCCAAGTCCCAAAGGAATCACAAATTATTTACTGCGACACAATATATCAAAAGTATATATAAATTATACAGAACACCTGAGTATAGCAAGAATCATCGTTAACAGTGATTTGTAAGGTTTACGAATTGATACATGTAACGTTCTTACTGCTAATCTGCTAATTAATTGCTAATAATAGAGAAGGTTTGAGTTTTTGGGTGAATTTGGGTTCCTCTCGGTCATGGAATATTTCGTCATTGGATTCACATAATACAAACATTCTACCCTGACTTTTCTATTTTTGTCTTATATTTAGATTATTCTTCGTCATCCATGAAACCTTACAAATTTATGTCTTGCATCCTTACACCCCTACCGCATGTACAGTTGTTTACTTCTGAAAACATTAATCTTTAGCAACACTTGTTTGAAAACAGCGTTGAATTTTTCTAAGATTCTCTGAATGCAGCCGTTCGAGACATGGAAAACTTCTTCACGCGTCGACGGCACGAATATAATAACAATGTATAATCAGATGATACCACAGGTCTGGAGTTTTGTCTAGAAAAAATCTGCAACTTGAACCGACCACCAAATTAAGAAGAGAAAGCTATAGTAATGATTACAGTACTGTACTGTACTGTACTCTCTACGGAAGAACGAAGATACTGGAAACATTAATTCTATCTTTTGCTGACGGGATTCTGCTTCTGTGGAGCATGCATCTAAAGTCGAAATCGTGACGTGGGTGCCGTAAGGCTGACATGGCAAGACCGGACACGCTGACATGGGAATCGATGGCAAAAGGTTCGAGCTTTCGACAGGCGCTTGTGACGGCTTCAAGCTCGACACGAGCTGTCGGAATAGAGCGAGAGCCCGGCACGAGCCCGGCAACGCTCAGCCCGAGCGTTGACATTGCTCTCGTATGGGGAAAGATCTCCAGCAGCTCAACTTTGTGTTGTTGCGGTGCGGTCCGTGAGGTCGTATCTGGGGGAGTCAACTCCTTCGAAGGTCCACCCTTCCCTTCTTTGCCGCTTAGCCATTGACACCGTTCGACAGCCACCGAGGATTCTGAAGCCGGGTCGCTTTTCAGAATCGATAAGGTCCCGTGTCGCTCAGTTACTACGAGGAGCTCTTGAATCTCGGTCTCAGGACACATCCGTCTGCAAGAAACTGGTAATCATCGACGCCATCGATTTCCCGAGATGAAAGATCGACTGAAACTTTATCCTCCACGGAATTTATGAGAGCACCTAAGGACTGGTGGGTATCGACCAGTCGGTACGAGCTATGATTAGAAGAATGAAGTACCCACTCTCTGTCAAAGACAATTGATGCATTTCCCTTTGTAAACAGAATGCAGAAACTCATGAATGAAAAGGTGGGAAGTCTTAACCTCCCTCTGAGCTCCCGCCTAACCTTAAATCCGAAGATTCAAGTGAGTCTTCGCAAGTATTTCAGACTATCGAGAATGGGCTGTAAGCACCTTCTTATGTATCCACGTAAACGCCCGCAAGGAGAACGACAAATAAATCGTTCAGTTTCTGGCTTTGTTATCATTCGATATACAACGTAAGTGGTCTCATATGGATGGTGATCCTCTAAGCTTCTGCACAGATTATAGTTCCCGATATTTTTAATGATGCACAGAAAATCTAAAGCCTAAGTGTAGATAGATGTAACGGATGCTAGAAAGTGCATGGTACGTAAGGTTAATTGAAAAGTAATAATTATACACATGATCTTGCTAACTGCTCTATTATTTTTAAGATTTTGACTAAAAATAAAGGAAAATAATTATCGGATTGAATATTCTTGGTTTAATAAAGTCTAACACGGCAGTAAGTGCTTACAAAACATGCCATGCAAGCCGTGAACTGGATTAGTCTGCTTTGAGTTTGTGAGCTCTCTTCTCACTTCAAAAATCTAGTTGTGGGCTCAAGTATAGAATGCACTCACCGTTGATAAATAGGTCCACATTTGTGCACATCAAAGAACGGAAAATCCAACCACTTTCACCGTGACAGGTCTCGTCATTAATGACAGAAGCTTGCAGTAATTGCCCCGAGGTAATCCATTGCGGAGGTGGGGAGAGCCGAACAGAGAGAAACCTCTGCATTTCAGGTTATCAACGCTCTTGTTAAGCAGTAAAGCGACAGTGCACTCTATATTCCAAAGGACGTCAGTAATAATAATCGCCACCGAATGCTGTTCTTCCTGTCGCTGCTCAGAAGCTAACCGGCGTTATGGGAAGTAATTGCATTCGCATCTGGATGCTCTTAGCATGGCCTAAACCATGAATGATGAAATTCATCAAGGACGAGGCCAGCTTCACTCCGACAGAGTAAATCTGTCTTGTCTGTCATGTCTTCGTTAGAGCGAACGAGCGTCTGCAGGCTCTCTGCCTGTACCCACAGCCTGACGGACCTGAATGAGGACGGTCCCAGTCATGGCGGTACCACGTTCGACCTCGAACGGGACCACTGCCTCGCACCCTGGCCGGAGAAAAGGCATGAAGCCTCGCTGAACCAGAATTTACTGATAGCGTCGATGGATATGGAAAAGTGCAAATTCGCTCCGTCTCTGGCTGCGGACGCACCCGACATCTGGGCTACGTCGTAAGCGGCCATGGATGGTAGAGGGAAGCCCTCGGAAGAGCAAGCGCAGCTCTTCGCGAGGGAGTGTGTGAGGAACCTGGTTTTGTTTCGTTCGCGTGTGTCCAGAGTGCAGGGGTCTCGTGGGCTGATTTTTCTAGTTTCCATTTTGCCTCTTTGGCCCCTTCATCATCCTCAACAGGGTCCTGATTCCTCGCGTCTCTAGTCCCAACCACTTGCTCGCTAGCGCTCGCGGAGGACTTCGCTACAGCAAAGGTGGGATTGTACCTGCGGCATATCTGCTTTCGAGACCTTACTAAAAGCTTTCGGCTCCACCTCCAGATAGTACAGTCAGGGCAGTACATTCGCTGGTACCGGTCGCAGGTTCGCCCTCGGTCTCTCTCTCTCACGGTCTCTGACGAGCGCCGAATTGATAGGCAATGCTCTGATCTGACGAGAAAGACTCGACCCCGGCCGAGTACTACAGCAGCTGACCCCATGCTGCACTGTGTAGCTAAAGTTGATCGACCCGAGGAGCGCAGCTAATTTGGTTTGTACTACCGCAGCGCGTTCAATTTTGCGACAACTCTTCCTATTCAAAAAAAAATATCCAGGTGTTCGTACCACAATGGAGAGGATGGCAGTGCTCGTTCTGGCTCTGTGTTGGCTCGGATTACTCCTAACTCCAGGAGCGAAAGCAGCTGAGGATGAGCATATGCCTCATGACAACAATCAGACGACCGATGGCGTTCAGTCATTATGTCAGGCGCTGGATCCATCCCCGCAGGTGCAGCCGTTCGTAGAGGAGCTCACTCAGCCTCCTGTCATTGACATCTCCACTGGCCAGCAGCTCACTCTTGGAGTCTATAAAATCAAACAGGTCTGTTCTTCCAGCCCAGTCCATTCCATTCTGTTGCATTCACGGTTGCCGTCATAATTTCATGTTCGAATCGTCGTTAGTTCGTTAGTTCTTTCGCTCGCCACCCTCCGACTGTATCCAGTTCCAGAAGACGTGGAAATGGCATTGAACATTGGGGCTGGAAATCAATCGCTCTGGGAATGAGGGAATTCTAGCGAGCTGAGCTAGCTCGAATGTTGCCTTCGGAAGCTCGATTCTGAGCTGATTCGTAGCGTCGAGTCTGAATCAGAGCTCACTGACGAGCTTCTCGTTCCGGTGCAGAAATTCCATCCCGACCTTCCGGAGACGACTCTGTACGCGTACGGCACGAGCCAGGAGACGGCGTCGACGCCAGGCCCGACGTTGTTGGCCACCCGGGGCATCGAGTCGTACGTGCGATGGGAGAACCACCTCAACGACTCGGAGCATTTCTTGACGGTCGACCACAGCATCCACTGGGCCAATCCGAAATCCGGCGGAGTACCCATCGTCACGCACTTGCACGGCGGCGAGGTCCTGTCGGAGTCCGACGGGTACCCGGACGCCTGGTACACGAGTGCCGGCGAACTGGGTCCGGCCTTCACCACGCAGAACTACACGTACGCCAACGCTCAGCCCGCGGCGCTACTGTGGTACCACGACCACACGGTGGGCATCACGCGGCTCAACATGCTGGCCGGCATGAACGGAATGTACTTGATCAAGTCGCCCGGCGAGGAGCCCGAGAACCTGCCGGCCGGCGAGTTTGAGAGGCTCATTGTCGTCCAGGACAAGCAGTTCCACGCCGACGGCGCCGTCAACTTCCCCACGGTGGGAGTGTCGCCCGGCGTGCACCCGAGCTGGTGCCCGGAGTACTACGGCGACACCATCATCCTCAACGGCAAGGCCTGGCCCGTCATGACCGTGTACCCGACCATGTACCGCTTCCGCATGGTGAACGCTGCCAACGCTCGCTACTTCGTCATGACGCTGAGCGACCCCAAGCTGCGCTTCTACCAGATCGGCACCGACGGCGGCTACCTGCACAAGCGCCTTAAGCTCACCACGTTGACCATGGGTCCCGCCGAGCGCCTCGACTTCCTCATCGACTTCTCCAAGGTCACCCCCGGCTCCGTCGCCTACCTCAACAACTCCGGCAACGCGCCGTACCCGGACGGCGACCCGGCCGTCGGCTTAGCCACGGTGATGATGAAGTTTAACGTGGTCGCTGCGCCAGAGAACGTAACCGTGCCGCAGTTTGACCTGCCGGCGTCGCAGGTGCTGGGCCCGCGCGTGAGGATCAGCACGGAGGGCGCCGTGGTGAGGAGCATGACGCTGTCGGAGTACGACGACGGCAACGACAACCCCACGGGGTCGCTGCTGAACGGGCTCAGGTGGCGCGACCCGCTGACGGAGACGCCGGAGCTGAACTCGACGGAGGTGTGGGAGATCATCAACCTGACGGAGGACGCGCACCCCATCCACCTGCACCTGGTGTCCTTCCGCGTCAAGAGCCAGCAGGCCTTCGACGCCGTAAGGCAGGCCAACTACAATTGCTCCTTCTTCGTGCCGTTCCCCGACCCCAAGAGCTGCTTCACGGAGGCGCCGCAGAAGCCTGAGCTGCACCACCGCGGTTGGAAGGACACGGCCACCGTGTACCCCGGCAAGGTCACCGTGTTCGTGGTGCGGTGGGCGACGCAGTCGGGCGAGCAGTTCTCGTTCGACGCCACCAGCGGGCCCGGTTACGTCTGGCACTGTCACATTCTGGACCACGAGGACAACGACATGATGCGGCCTCTGAAGATGATGGCCGCCAATTCTTCCCAGCTTCCATAGATCTGAGCATTTTGCCCCGCCCATGTCCGATCCGACCATGTCTCTTTTGTAGCCTGTCTGTACAGCGAGCGCGTGTGTGTTAGAGATTCAAAAGGCGATGCAGCCCCTAGGCCAAGAAGTAGGATTTTGAGGACGAAGAGAGCGAGGAGCAGATGATATCGAATGGTGTGTCAAATGGTGCGGGTCAGTGAGGACCGTGGGAACAAGAGGAGGGAATAAGACTCTACCGGCAGGGAAGCGAAACCAGATTGTGAAGTGAGCATAGATGAGACTGTTGTTGTCCAGAGTACATCAAAAGAACATATAAAAAAATTCCTGTGTTTTGCTGCGAAATTTTGTATAGTAACCAACAGGTTAATGAAAGGGAGCCCCAGTGGACTTTTTTTTTGCCTCAAAAATTTCACTCATAGCAATTTCTCGAATTTGATGCTTAGATTGGTCTTCAATATCGTTGGGCAAAGCGGATGTTCGTACATATGGATAAACTAAAAATAAACTTCAATAAACTTGGGCAGATCAGAGTTGGGTGCAATGGGAAGATGTTGGAAGATATATTTGGCAAACATTGGTTTCCCTTGAAAGTGTGAAGCTGGAGGGGTACAGGTTTCACTTAATCCACGATATGCCAAGCATTGTAAATTCGTTTATTGTTGTGTTTACTGATTCACGATGTTGTCATGACATAATGCTGGTTTGAGAATAGCTTGTTTTGGAAACGAGTAAACTTCGTCATCCAAAGACCGGAAGCGAGAGGGAGAATATCTGCTCCAGTTTCAACAAACTATTACCTGGTAAGAGAAGGAAACTCGGACGGTGGCACGCAGAATCATGTTCCTGGTGAACGATGAGTGGTGTTGTGATGGTCGTACCTCCCACGGATGTAGAACTGAAACTGGAAGGGTCCGATTTCAAGGCGGACCCGGATTCAAGTATTGTCATCTTACCACTTCCTTGCTATGGATCAACTAATGAATCGAGCACATTCAAGCTGATGTTCAAGCCCTGCTCTACCATGCTGATCAAGGTCAACCATGATCCCCAATTCAGAGGCGTGTAAACCATCTCCGTGAATATATCAGGTTCGTCATCTGTCTCTGCAATCGTGAGGTTTTCAAATAGAAGAAGTTGTGAGCATATGGATGGTAATTTGATCTGGAAAACGAGGGTACGGCTTCGGTTCTAAAGTTTGATCAGAAAGGATGCTTCTAACTAGAATAGACATGAGATGATGATGAGATTGAGATGCCATAGCAAGCTTCTTGCCCCAAAGGCCTACGAATTTTTCCTCATTCTGGATAAGTCATGTTCTGCTTTTGTTTTCTCGATAATGCTATCACTCAATAGGCCATCACGGTGACAAACAATTTATGTACTCCGTCAGATATTCCAAAAGATAGATCCGCCATATAGCACAAACTCAAAACTATATCTGAAGCCTTGATTTAATCCGAGGTGTTAACAGCGTGATGCATCTGAATGAACTTGAGTTTGAAAGGTGAGTTTTTCTCATTATCTGATATGAACAGTTGCAGGGTGCAAGAGAAGAAATTTTCTGGAGGGTCGGTCAGCCATCTCATGCTCATCATTCAAGCAACCGAAGTCTCGAGGGTATTTACTCTTCATACGTGTTGATCACATATCAACACACTTGAAGAATGATCATGCGCTCTGTTCCATAACTTTTGAGATAACATAGAGCATTTGTTGCCTCGCATTTCGCACTGGTCCTGTGCAATATGAGAGAGATTCATGAGCTCACGTATCCAGTGAGAATTCCAAAAGACCTTTCAACTACTTCTACGCCATGGTCAAACTGAGTGAAGATTATATTTCAGCCATAAAGACAGTTTCCATGCTAGTGACGTGACACTAAAAAGAAGCTTTGTGAAAGAAAGAAGTGAATTGTTGTCCCAGAGGTTGTCTCACTGGCAATGGAAGCGGCGCCTCACCGATATATATGCAGAGAAATCTCTTGCTCTTGATCCATTTTTGCAAGTCGGATAGATCTCAAAATTACCGCATAAGGGCCCACATGGCCTCCACTTTTCTGGTCTCTGCTTCCTTATCCCGCCCTTCCTTGATTGATGAGGCAGACATGGGAATCGAGCATGAAAAACGGCTATAATCACATCAAACCATTTTTAAACGTCGAAGATTGATCTACAGCCCAAAACTATCTTCTACAAAGTTCTTCACTTGCTTAAGATTGCATCTCTTGGAAGTACGATCTTCTCTGTATACTAATACATTAGGCTAGAGATCGGCCTCATTTTACGGAGGGAAGAAAGCTTCAACTGTTGTGAATATATCCTATCTCATGTCTTTTTAGAGATATAAATAGTAAATTGGATTTATTGGGCTTGAAATAATAGAGCTTATATATACATGCTGCTAATATTTTGGATACGATCAGTAATTTACTCTTCAAAAATAGTCAGCCAAATGATATTCTGGAACTTTTACACCCACATTATCAGGGGATCAGACAAGTGCGATGATGAGATTCTGAGGTTCGAGCGGGTTGATTCCGCGGATATTGGCTCCTTCAACATTGTACTCACCTCTCTCAATTCCTCTCCCACGGGCGGTATGAAGGAATCGACGCTACAAGGAGTTTGACAACTTATACGGTGATAATTAGCTGCTTCAATGAGCTTAGTAACCAACTGTGAGTTCTTTCAGCCTCTACAGATTCATTACAGATTTGCAGCACTGACAGGTCTGTAGGCAATGCCTTATTATTGTACCGTGATATGGAATGAAGTGGATTAGAATCAAGTACTCGAGGGTTATGACTACAAATAAATTCACAGCTTCATATACTTTCTTATGTCACCTTGCTGTGATCTCGTTGATTTCGATATCTGTGGGCTTGGAAGTATGGGGTAGGATAGCCATGAGTTTACGCATTCTCTTGTATCTACAATTTGTTTTGGGCTTTCGTGAGAGTTTGGTTGTTCCACGTTGCCTGAGAATTCTTCTCATTTACTAGAAGATCTTGTTGCGAGACTCTGTATAAGTTGTTACAAAGATCAACACTAATCTTAACAGACGGTACAGTATCAAAAATCTTGACAGGAAAAGACAATTGAAAAGTCCCTATCAAAGCCTTACTTCAAGCTCCCTATCACAATAAATCTAGGACTGACTTGCAATTGCCCACTCGCCTCATTTCACTCATGACTCATTTTTATTAATTTTAGAATAGTCCGGGGACTCGTGATGAAGAACTCAATAATTATGATGTACGATTTGGATAGAGCAACTCAAGAATCAAGTTGAACACAAAGTAGATACAATTATCAAAACATTTAATTGTGCCCTATTAACGTGAGTGTAGAACAATCTCCGATTCCCACGGCTATGTGTGACATAATGAAAATGAAGAAAGATCATAAATTTGACCACAGATCTCATATATACCTGAGGTAAGATGACTTACGTTGACAAATAAATCAATCATTTTTTTTCTTAATTTGTAGATTTCAAAAATCTTCAATATGGATTTAATCACACATCCATTACCAATTTGATTTCTTGTGTTCTATAATGAGATGACTTTTGTATGAGAAGATGGATTGTTTTAATGTGACTTTAATTCATGTAAAAGCTTATATAATTTAAACATCTCATTTACTTTTAGTGTGACGTTTATAAATGATTCAGTATAAATTAGTATGGAACAATCTATTTTTCAATACTTAGAATAGATGATTAATGATTTTATATCTTAAGATGAATTATTATTTCTTGTTTAGATTTTTTCTTCGTTTAAAACTAACTGGTAAACATTTTATTGATTGAATATTTAGTTTTAGATTATTTTTTATCCAAGTGTATATTGTGTGTCTTGATAGGAAAAATCCATATCAAAATTTCTTTAGTCTACAATGCATTTGCACTTAAAATTCTATAATGAAATTCATGACAAGTTCAAAGGTTGGTTTAAATGTATAATATCCCATTTCATAAGCAAGATTTACATTTTTGAAAATCAGTGGATGCAAATGGCACAGCATGTAAGATGCTAATTTCTCGATGATATTTAAAAGAAGGGAGGTCGTATTGAATCCCGAGCACTGTCATTTTCATCCTTGACTGGACTATGAGCCGAAATATGAAGGTGACAAATCTCTAGACAATATTTACCACTCTAAAGAAATAAAAAATCAAATCAGCCATAAAATTAACCCTACCTCCCACATTAAAACACTTTAACACACATGATCAGTATCTCACGAAATGATGATTAAAAAAAGGAAAAAAAATTTACTGTCAGTATGGTTCTGTCGGATTATCTTAGTGTTCGATTCAAAGGCTCAAATTTGAACCTAAATTCACACAAACTTAAAACTACAAACCACAGTTACTGATTATCACTTAGTTAGAAAGTTCCCTTTGACAAGATAGCCCTCAAACCTACAAGAAAATGCTCTTGACGTCTGATGACTCATTTATTCACACATCATATATAGCATCTGGATATATGTACATATGCTAATAGTAAGATCTATCAAATTTTACTACTAGCAGATCGTAGAAGACGATATTAGCTTCTTCTAGATTCTGTAACTTGCTTAACTGCCTAGACTGACACATTTCAGTATCCTTAAGGTCACTATTGCAAGACCACACCTGACATTTTTTTCAGACTACTTTGTTCCTATGCACTGCAAACGAATCGTCTACGTTCTCTACGGGTCTTATTTCTGTACAACTGGACTACCTCCAATATGTATAGAAAGTGGGTATGGCCCATATTGTCTTGCTGTTAAGAGCGTAAAGTTGAATGGTCTTGAGCTTCACCTGAAGATATCATCTACTTTCTAGTACACACTTTACAATTCTGTTTCGTCTTACTTTTACCTTGTAAACATATGTTATCCCTCAGGTGGAGAGTACTCATTCGTTCGGCTACCTTGAGTCGAGAGCACTCAGGAACATTTGACTCAACCTTCCGACTGTTTTCTTGCTTGTTTAAGACTGTCTGCTAAAATCGAATTTTTTAATTTATTAAACTTTCTTCGACTTAAAGGCCTCGGATTGATCAAAACTGATTGCAAGAAAATTAAGGTCCTGTACATCCATAGATATTTCCTCGATTTGTGAAGTGATACTAGGCTCAGAATTTTGGATAGATACACAACCGTATTTCTGCTGGTGCATTTGACGTGAGAACGGGGCGAAGTGACATGATATATGGACAAGACATTTGATAGTATCTATGAATTACTACATGATACTTGAGAGCCATTTTGATATGAATCAAGTTGTTGCTAATTAGTACAAGCATGTTTGATATGAATTGCTTTGACGGTAAAATTTATGTTTTTGTGCAGGGAGTGTATGTTGTCGGCATCATAGTTTTGTGACATTACATAGAGTGATATGCTTTCAACGATAAATATAATCTAAGAGACACAAAAAACATGGAGCACCCAGAAATAGAGGCGCATAGAATAAGAAATTGAGATGAAAACTGCATTTGCAAGAGTAGCATGAAACCTTCTATCTAAGCCGGAAGATAGTTTAGGAGCCTGGAGGAGAATTAAACTTTCATAATAAGACATTATCTCATCGTGAGAGCAACCAAAAATCCAAAACTTAGTGGTATGAAATGAAAATACATGACTATGAAAGAAATCGTCAACTCTTGGACGGATTCAAATGCTCTTTGGACAATCTTACTGTCTTGAGCTCTCAATTTATATGCACAAGGCGAACAATACTGTCATAGACGGGAGCGATCAAGAATGACCATATCATGGGCAAAGTGAATCTCTAAAGCCAATGGGGAAGACAAGCCGCTCGGCCGCCAATCCATGTGGAACCTGAATAAATCTACGAACTAGAATCTCTCTCCTGGAATCCATGACCATCAAATATATAAGTATTTATACATGTATATATATCTGGGCTATAATTCATATTTTATTCAACGTTGAAAGTAAATAAAACAAAATCGATTATATTTAGATGCATTAATGCCAAATTGCCTTATATTTGGCTTCTCTACTTTTTCATTATTGACACGTAAAGACAAACTTCTAAAATAACTCTCATCAGATAATTATTACTTTTGAATGTTTTTCATAAATTTCTATAAGGTAAATTGAAAGAAAATTAAGCAAAAAAATATTTTTTAAATATTTTTTTTACGATTTTGATTAGTTCAGCTCAGGTATATGAAAGAATCGATTTTCAGAAAAGAATTGCTGGTGTAAAGAGTTGCGTGATTATATGATGTTCAAAATAAATTGCAAGAATATGATCAATGATGCTGAATTTTTTTTTTCATCTTGAAAATACTTTTTTTTTTACACATTTTTGGATTTTTTTTATTCTATGTTTACATTTGTTGAAATTAAAAAATTAAATATGATAAATTTTCTATAATACTCAAATGTCATTACAACTGATGTTTTAGTTGTCCAACATGGAGTATGATCATCCAAATTTTAAATTCTGATGAGTTTAATGAATTTAGTGGTAAAACTCAATTTTTCAATTTTTTTCCAAATTTCTGTGTTTATTTCAATTTTTAAACACAATTACTTAAATGTTTAGATTCTATATCCGTTTCATCATGAAAAGACACTTTGAATGAGAATTGTAATCAAATTGAAAATTATAGTATGGATCTGAAAAAAATAAAACTAAATACAATTATTAATCATAATTTATTTTCATGATTGATATATAATATGAATATTTAAATAATGATTAGAAATGTAATTTTGAAGATTATTAAATTAAAATATTTTACTTTTAAATAAATTTATTATTTTGTAATGATAGGAAAATTGCATTTTTTATTATGATCAAATGAATGGAACATTTTTGCTTTTGTTTTAGCAATATATGTCCTCAAAATAACTTGTCATACCATATAATTTAGATTTTCCATTGAAATATCTTTAAGATGAATTGCTTCACCAAGTATTGAAGAAGAATCATCTTTCAAGTACGCGAGGTTAGATTCATATATTCATAATTATTGAAAGGAAAAAAAAAGAAAGACCCTCTTATTTTATGATTATAGAATATTTATTACTTTTGAATGTATGTGTTAAAAAATGGATGGTAATTGATTCTAGTTAGTTCGATTATAATAAGTTAAACTTAGTTTAGCTGCACACATAAGAGAACTATCATAAGCTATCTTTTATACAAAACTAAGGGTTCTTCAAGAAATTTTTGTGTTAACATTGTGGTATGAAAATAAGGTTACTAAATAGAGAATGTGAATGAGCTGTAATGCTGGGCTACAAAAGATTCAACCTGCTCCACAACATCTAAGCCGAAGAAATATGGTAAATAAATGCAAAGTATGCATACGACATTGTGCTACAACTACTAATATGAAATGTCCAATTCCATTCCAAATACAAAATTGTACAAACAATCATATTTCTTTATTTTTTATACCTATATTTATACGAAATGGTGATAGAAGTTGGTACGAATTCCTGATGCAAGGATTGATTTTAAATTGATGTACAGTATGTATTGATACAAAGGTATTGATATCCAAATATATATTGTTAGAAAGAAATGCTGAATCCCAAGTACTAATACGAAGTGCTTCAGAATAATGAAAAATGAGTAATCCTGAGTTTATAAGTAATCTTGTTCTTGTGTGTGTTTCAGTGATCTTGAAATTGTGAAAGGATCAAAGATATGATCTTGATCAGAAACTGGCTAGACTTGGAGAAACAACAACACTTAGTGCAGGAGAGCGATACTGTCACCCACTTATTTCCTAGACCAGTCACATCTGGCGGGGGCAAGTACCACATATAGTATGTACAGTATGAGGTTTTCTCGTCCTTATTTTTACCTTAAATACTATCATGATTCATGATTCGAAACAAATTTGAGTATGGCCTCTTCATTTAGTCCTTCTTGTACACAGATAAAGCACAATGTGTGCTTAGCGGTAACCGTTCCAGTGTGGAAGGGCACTGATAATTTATTACTTTTGTGCAACTAACAAAAATAAATATGCTTGAAAATAATAAGTATCGAATTTATTCGTTTAAAGATGTTTAATGAAAATGGACATTTTTAATATGAAACTTAGTATGAAATTATTATAAAAATCAATTGACATTTTAGTTATAAAAAGTGATGCTTGAGTTTAACGGATGCGATGACGCTAGGAAACTTGCGTGATAGCTGTTCTGGAGATTGAATGTTCCCATTTGTCCAAACGATGTCTTACGATGTTTGTAAGTACATTCTCTTCCTTCGTACTATTGACATCTGTGTTCGTTTCAATCTCACAGATGTACTGGGAAATTTAAGTGGAATCCAAAAACTCATCAATATGCTGGGAGCGGTGTGGAACGACCATGGCCGGATTGAATGTTCGACTCAGCTCCGAAAGTTTGTAAGGAAGCACATCAGTATACGTACAGTTCAATCCTGACGTCGCACTGGTTTCGGTAAACTGACTTGTCTCAGAACATATGTTATGTATGTGAGCTGTTGTAATTTTCACTGTGTTCTTCAAACACCTGATGTAATGAATTTAACTTCTGAACTTCTTTGCTTCAGGTAAATAATGTGGACCTTGGAGTTATAAGATCTTGATGACTCGTGCACAATGCCCGTGGTAATGATTTTTTTTCAATTCTAATCGACTGACATACGAAATCTTGAGTTTGTCTTGAAGCCATTCGGCCCTGTTTAAAATTCGCCTATCATCCAGTTCTTGTCTACAATCGTCGGTATTCTCTGCTAGTAATGTGTATGAATATCTCCATATGTTTCTATGGACAGGTAAGCATGGATTAGAACATAGTATGACGTTCTTTTGCCATCGTATTCCACCTCTGAGCAGACGCGAGTCCGAGTTCTACACTTTGTGGATGAGAAAGTAGCCAAGAGCTGTAAAGACGGCGATGTCTAACACAAGCGTTGAGAACTGGAACCTTTATGCTCCCCCGCACTATCGACTGTTCAGCAGTCTAAAATCTCTTCCTTATAACAGGGGCTTCTGTCAGACATGTTGTCACTTGGCTGCGAATCAATATTTCATGTTGAGTTGCTTTTTCATGTAACCAGAACTTGTAATTCGAAGCATGTGGTACACAGTCGCCAAGTCTAGCTTCTAATGCCTTTGTTGATGGCGTTTGACAGTGAACAGCAGAGTATCTTGAACAGTGAAGGAGACTTCCTTGTGTTTGGAGGAGAATCTCGACTGATCTATCAGGGTACACGACATTTGCAGGCTGGCACCCGTCCGCCTGGTTTACACATGGTCCTGGGTCGTTTGAATTTCACATTTCGGCAAACAGATGCACGTCTTAATGCACAAAAACAAGCTCATGTTCCTCGCAACTGATATTCCAACGCTTCAATGTTCTTCCCATGCGCACGTGGTTACATGAGATCTGCAACTTTAAACAATGATTGTATAGATGTAGGAGCAGGGGCGGAGCCACAGGGGGGGGCAGGGGGGGGCATGCCCCCCCCCAAGCCCAGGAAGGGTCTACACAGATTGTTAGTTACAGAATGTGAAAACGAGGTCGAGAAAAAATTTTAATTGGAAATTGGCGGGTAGCCCCCCTCTCGCCCCCCTTCGCCCCCCCCACCTGAAAAATCCTGGCTCCGCCCCTGAGTAGGAGCCGTGATTGTAGAATAAAGTCAGACCTACATCGAATCAGTAGAGAAGAGATGAGCACATTATGAAGCAGGTCTTCTATGGTTGCAATTCTGCTTTACATTACCTTTTTACCCTTTTGATATTCTCAAATAGTTCCCGTGCTTTTAACCTCAACATGTATAAGAATCATCAACAGCGGAATGGTCTAGCCCTGCAACTGCATAAATGTAAACCTGCTGACGGTTGCAAAATTCGGTAATGCGTTTCTGGTTGTGCTCTGAAGAATCGGCAACTCGTGGATCATAGAAGAGAGAGTAGAGCACAAAACATTAACGAACGAGCCTCAAGTTGATTGAGGTAACGAATTGTAGTGCAATGTCCCTCTGTTATTGGTATGAAACTCGGCCAGTACTCGCAGTCAGCATGGTAGACAACTACATCGCGACTATTTAGAGAGAATCGTTTCATGGACGGACGACATCACGTGAAACTCAACTCCTCAACAAGCCTCTGGTACCTTCATCTAGAAAGAACCGTGCGCAACTAAATATGCGGGAGAAGTCCATCAATTCCAGAGACGAAGAGATGAAAAGCACCGAGGAATGGTCAGTCAACAGACATTAGTATAATCAGCTGGACAAGTGGGCTAAATCTGCAGGCCACGATAAATACTTGGCTAAGCCGAGTGCGTGCAGACAAGCGAGGGGTCGGGTAGACAACTGCAGTGCCCAATAAACAATCAATGAACCAGTTGCAGCCGTATCAGGAGCAATGAAGATCGGTCGCCAGAAACAAGTGGACTTTGAAGCTGTTCTGTATACCTCGCACAATCCTGAAGAGCGCATCAGAAAGAAGTAGGAGAAGAAGCCAACCTGTCGTCAACGCCGGTGATCGATGGAAGGTACTCCGCTGACACTGTGGACTCACTTCATGGCACACACGGCGAACGTGCACGGGCTCGCAGATCTGTCGGCGAGATTCGGATGCCTTGTCCAGCAGTGTCCGAGATACTCGAAGCATTCGGCGAGGTTAAAACAAAGTCCACTGCGACTATTGAGAACGAGCACGAGGGCTTTTCTCCCCTCTACGTACGTACTTGAAGACTTTTTTCCCCAGGGAGTAGTAAGTCCAGACATGACGTGCCGGGAGCACCGCGGCACGAATTCTCTGGAGCTCTGATCTGGTCCTACTCTACGTCAATCGCTTCTTCTGATGAAGCCACTCAAACCAATTCAGGGACGAAAACCAATCACCTCTCGCCGCAAATCAAATAATAAATCACGTTATAAGATTCCAGCGACTGACTGTGTCGAACGTCGCCGGAGGTGACGGTGTCCAGCAGAGTACTAGGAACGCAGTTCAGAGAGCTCCCGGAGCTCTGGAGCTCCACTAAATCAACTTTCAGCACTTCACTTCGAACCCAGAGGAGCGAGACTAGGATCGATCTAAGACCCTTTTTGTACTCTGAACCGGTCGGGTCGAATCAGTGTACCGCACCAGTCAGAGCGAGGCGAGGCCCGAAGGCCGCATTGGCTGTGCGTCTGACAAGGGGTACGTACATACGTACTGTACTGTCTCGAGACATTCTTGAAGGGGAGGGAGGAGGACGGGGAATGTAAGAATGGCCGTCCTGTCTAGTCCGGTCCGGTCCGTCCTTCCGTCTTTCCATCCTACCTCCGTCCGTCCGTCCGTTCCTTCCGTTTCTTATTTTGTCGTTAAATTGAAGTGGACAAGTGTACACGGAGAGACGTAGCAGCTGATTGGCCGGGGCGCCGGAGAAGCGAGTGAGTCAGAAGATTCGGAACGGACGGACGGACCGAGTCTCTGCGTCGCCACGCTGGCCGGAGCCTGGGACGCAGGCTCGGCCTGCACAGCGGTCCCCGTCCTCTGGTACCCCCCCCCGGGGGTGTGATTTCGTCAACGGGAGCTCGACCTCGGGCTCTTCCACGAACTCTGGAGCTCGGTCGCACGATTCTCCTGAAGAGCTTTCGGAAACGGATCCGTCGAATTAAGAACACTTTCGGCCGACCGACTGCTCGAGGGAGGAGGGGACTTGGTGCAGAGTGTGCGAAGAGAAGTGGAAGAAAGATCCGGGATTGGAGACGAGGAGGCGATTTTTCGGTGCTCTGCGGGCACGAGGAACGGAGGAATTGGAGGCCTGCGAGAGCCAGAGAGAGAGAGAGAGAATCGGTGCGTCGGAGCTGAAGGATGGTGGCGTATGTAAGAGGTCATTGCGTCCGAGGAGTGTGAACGAGCAAAAGATTAGCGAAGGCGAGGGGAGGGCAGAGAAGGGCAGGGAAGGGAGGAGGAGACGAGGTCGAGGCCGGGCTGCCATCGGTTGCCTTGCCTTGCCGGGCCGGGCACTTCTACTGCTCCGACGACAGTGCGCCTCTCCTCTCTAGCTCTCTTGTCCGTCTCCGATCTCTCCCTTTTCCGCCCACCCATTTCGTCTGTTCTTCATCCCTCCCTCCATCTCTGCCTGCTCTTTTGGCTTTTCTTCGGCGAGTGCGCGAGCGACAGCAGCAGCAATGCAGGAGGCATGATCGAGAAGGCCATTCGCGGCAGTGTGCCTTCGAGACATTCGGATCTGCGCTATCGGACTCCGGATCTTCGATTGCTTCGAAATGAGTCAGCAGGGATCGAGGTTGGGTCGAGGAAATTGGAAATTGTTCACCATGTTCGATGTGCCTCTGTAGTCGTAGTAGTCGCAGACGGCGATCTGAGAAAGAATTTGCCGATCGCCCTCCGGATCTTCCCTTCTCCAAGGGGCTCCACAGAAAGTCTTCTCTAGTGAGAAGTTCGCATATCACCACGGCAACAACAGGACCCACCTTGTGACCTAGGGCCTTCGCATCCATGGGGTGCACGTGGTCAGGTCTCAATGCGCTCTATGAGGTGGTGAGCGCCGGACAAGAAGTATGGGTGAATGAGCGCAGATATAAAATCGTCAGACAGTTAGGAGAGGGCGGATTCTCTTTTGTCTACTTAGTGCGAGAGCATACAGGCGAGCACCCTAATCGAGCACCGAAGAGTGATCCTTTTGTTTCCGGTATGTCCGATCCTCTTCCTGGATACAGGGTACAAGAACGCATTATCTTGCTTTTCCTGATTTCATTCGTGTTGCTCCTCAATTCGTGAATCCGTTCCCAATCAGCGATTACGATGTATGATTTCGGATGATTATCTTGCTTGATGAACTGATAGAAGGTCTCTGCTCTGAGGTTATACGGCCAAACTTTAGGATTGGTGCGGTCGATTCAGCGGAAATTCATGGCAGGAGTCAGGACATTGTTGATCTGATTGATAGAATCAGTTGTTGGATGTACAAGTGGCTGGAGAATTTGAGTTTTGTTCAGAAACAAGTCCAGATAGGACCAACAGAGTTTGACGATGACTCTATATAAGGTCTTCGTGTATGATAACGAAAGGTTGCGCCACAATGTTTTATCTCAAAGGCAATCATATGTCTACCGTATTGGTGATGACATGATGGTATTGTCGTCACCAATGCGGTAGATATATGATAACGTTGTATTCTAATATTTATTCAAATAGAGTATGAACCTGAACTAGACAAGTTTGCGCATCGAATGTGATTGATAAATCACATTTTAATATTCGACCTTCGTCGATAATTAGGAAATAAGAACGACACGCTGCTGAATGTATAGTTGGATCAGTCTTTATCCTTGTAGAGGAGTTTGGATACTTGGTTGTAGTCTCAGGGCAATGTTGACTGCGCCTAGTGTCTTGAGAGTTGTATGCAACTCCAGCTTTTGAAATAGCTTGAGCTGGGTCATGACATAAATTACAGGTTCTCAGTTTAATTTCTTAACAAAGCTGACTGTTTCAGGGACAGTTTAGAGCGTCCTGATCAGAAAGTTTTGCTGCTACTTCATTCTGTTTTGTTTTCATGGTTGTAGGTGGCCAATAGGACTATTTCTTAATAACGTCGTATGCCGTGGGTTGCAGCTGATGGATTGTATGCGCTGAAGAAAGTTCTGGTCCAGACTGATGAGCAGCTCGAGCTCGTGAAACAGGAGATCAAGATTTCTTCCTCGTTTAATCATCCCAACCTGTTACCGCTTCTTGAACACTCCATAATTGCAGTCAAGGTCGGAACACGTGCTTACAGTCCTGCATCCAATCCAGCACTCTTTGTCTCTCTCAGTTTATTTTAATATCGTTCTTGTAATCATGTGTTTGACATCTCCTTGCTGATCTTGGTTACCTGGTATGCCTCGGGTGTACATGGATGAAGGGTGCTCAGGAGGGGTTGTGGAATCAAGAAGCGTATCTTGTGTTTCCAGTCCATTTGGATGGAACGCTTTCGGATAATCTCAACACATTGCAGGCACAAGGACAATTTTTCCCCACCATCACTGTCCTTCACATATTCAGACAGGTAGAGTCTTGGCCTGTTATCAACTTGTTTCCAGGTTTTGTTCGCCGAAGTATGAGAAATTTATCAATACGAGAGAGTCTGCTCATGAATCTTTCTTCTACATATGTTGAACATGAGGAGGTTGAAGTTCGTACATTTGTCAGAAGTTTTATTTTATCTTCTTGCGTAGGGCAGATTTGTGCAGGTTTAAAGCACATGCACACGGGTGATACTCCTTACGCTCACAACGACTTGAAACCTGCGAACGTGCTGCTATCAAAAAGAAAGGACCAACCACCACAGGTCATAATTATGGACTTCGGCAGTGCTACGGTCGCTCGCAAGCAGATACGATCAAGGTCGCAAGCCCTGGCTTTGCAGGTGGGGCTTTTTTCCAACTTTGAGTCTTCGGATTTTTTCAACCTTGAATCTCTTCAGCACTACAGATAGAATTTAACAAGAGATGTCTACGCACTAAAATTTTTTAACTCCAATGTTAAAACCTTTTACCTAGTAAAGTTACAGCAAGAAACGCTGTAACTATAAACCTGTTTTAAGTTCACTATGCAGACGTGGTAAGGGTTATCTCAACATCAGTATCGGATTGATATCAGTTTCAGATGTTCACTGCTCTGATTTCAGAAACCATAGGATATGTGCCACACTTCTGGTGGATTTACTTCCATCCTTTATTAGGAGCTTCTTTCTGGTTACTTCCTATGGATGGTTACAATGTACTGAATTCAGTATGTATAACGTCGACGGTCCGACTTAAGATCTCGACTAACGCAATGGCTTGGCATTTCAGCTAACATAATGACTGGCTCTCTGCAGGAATGGGCTGCTATACATTGCTCGGCTCCTTATAGAGCTCCCGAGTTATGGGACTGCCCAAGCCAGATAGACATCGACGGGAGAACTGATGTTTGGTCCCTCGGATGCACATTATTTGCCACGATGTAAGTGTCTTGAGTGGCAGTGTGTTACCTTCGGCTCTAAATTTCTTACGCTGCTTCGTGTTTATTTCTTGCTTCTCAACTTCTGTTTACCAACGCGGTCTGCTTGAACTGCTGCCATTGATTTGCAGGTATGGTGTATCACCTTTTGAATATTCACTAGGTGAGTCGGGGGGTAGCTTGCAGTTAGCAGCGATGAGTGGACAGATCAAATGGCCACCTGGGCCAAATCCCCCGTACCCCGACTCTTTACACAAATTTGTGACCTGGATGTTGCAACCGAACCCCGCCCTCAGGCCCAACATGGAAGACGTCTGTATTCACGTCGAGAAGTTGGTAGCGAAATTCCCCACAGGAATGAATGGGCTTTGGACACTACAAAACCCATAATGAAGCTCAGCTTCGATTTTCTACACGTCAAGTTAAGTCTCGTCAGTCCAGAAGAAGTTGATCAGCACCATCCTCGACATCACTGTCTGTCGGAGATGTCATTATGTCGACCAATACATTCATATTCACTTCACTTAGGTGTTGTATAGTAGCAGATCACTTAAGCATTTGATTCCTGTGAGCCGCATTTCTTGAATGTCTCAGCAAGCGAGAAGGTACTCATATTAGCCTACACATTTTGGCTTCAGACACGGCGAAAGAAAAAGACGTATCTGTTTATCGGTAAGTTCCTGCCATAGCCTTTCGGCCTTTTAGAGACAAAATAGAGAGCTTCGGGCTTTTAGTGACTGGCTTTTCGGAAATCTCCCATGGGTTGAAATATTCAAAAATCTTGAAGAACTTTGTTCTCAATAAACTAGTGCAACTATTAGCATCAAGATCTTAGCTAGTGAGAGTGGCGAATATTTCACTCATAGGTTTGTTCAACATCGCACAGACGAAGGAATGAGTCTGTTGGCTTGCTGAAACCGATATTGTAAATTCTCAAGCACTTGGAATTGCCATCTTTTTGTGTAATGGAATGGAACCATCTTACTGATGTTGTCATTCTTGTGTATCCGACTTCAGCCGCGAAAGTAAGATGTAAGTCAAAACATGGTGTCACGCTTGACTGCCTCAAGGCTTACTCTCTACAGGCCCGAAGAATGTTTACAAGTATCTCGCCGACCCTAAGCATATACGATTTCAGGATATCGCTTTGTAAATACCGAGGATAATGTTTTATGTCCTCCTGTATTCAGACGGATGAAAATAGCTGTTCAGTATAGTTGGAGGTAATTTATTGATTCAGCTGCCTATGTGTTGATTCTTTAAGATTTTCTATGCATCGAACAAACCAATTATAGAGTCAAAACACCAACTGCATTGCAGACTATTGCAGATGTTAACATTTAAAAAAAAATAACTCACCTGTGTAGAGATGGCGAACATGTTCCAAAACTTAACCAACAGCACAAACATTTGCTTTCAGTAGTTTTCCAAGAATTGGGTAGAACGACAGCTTTTAGAAGAATAAGATTTGTCAGTCTTCACTGGAATCATGGAGTTTTGAGGTTCGAGGAGTAGAACTTGAAAACGTGCAGAAATCTCTAGCTCGGAATAGAAGCTGTGCTAATGCTTCTGTTTGACAACTAGAGTAATTGGGGAGATGATTTTTGAAAATGTAGACACTTCCACAAAAACTTGTTAACACCCATGCAAGAGAAAAGCATATATATAATGATCCAATTTAATAGTTCTCAAATTAAAAAAGTCTTAATATTTGATATGGAAATAGAAAGTTAAGAAAAGGTGAGTAAATGGTACATGATTTTGAGAAGAACCTTGACAAATAACATTTTCACTGTATAAATCATTTCTTTAATAAAAGTCATTAAATTTTATATTCATTTGTAAAATATTGCAATGGTTAATAATGGCAACTTGAATCGCTTAAGTAAGATCATGTCGAGTCAAAAGATGTAGCCTCATAATATGTAACCGTGGTTGGAAATGTTGGAGTAGAGAATGCTATCTACTTTGAAAAGTCTCAAGGGAAAAGTTAGAGTACCATAAATCTATGTGAACTTACAACAAGTAAAAGCAATACGATGAAGAGGTTGACAGATTTCAACAAAAGATGCAAGAGTACAATAAGTCTATTTGAGGTTACAACAAGCAAAAGCAAGACAATGAAAAGGTTGACAAAGTTCAATAGAAGATCCAAGAGTATAATAAATCTATGTCAGCTTACAACAAACAAAAGCAAGACAATGAAGTTGTTGAGAGATGTTGACAAAGCTCAACAGAAGATGCAAGAGTAAATAAATTTATGTCATCTTACAACAAGCAAAAGCAAGATGATGAAAAGGTTTACAAAGCTCAATAGAAGATGCAAGAGTACAATAAATCTATGTAAGCTTACAACAAGCAAAAGCAAGACGATGAAAAGGTTGACAAAGCTCAACAGAAAATGCAAGACTACCATAAGTCTATGTGAGCTTACAACAAGCAAAAGCAAGACGATGAAAAGGTTGACAAAACTCAACAGAAGATGCAAGAGTAAATAAGTCTATGTCAGCTTACAACAACCAAAAGCAAGACAATGAAAAGTTTGACAAAGCTCAACTGAAGATCCAAAAGTACAATAAGTCTATGTAAGCTTAGAACAAGCAAAAGCAAGAAGATGAAAAGTTTGACAAAGCTCAACAGAAGATCCAAGAGTACAATAAGTCTATGTCAGCTTACAACAAGCAAAAGCAAGACGATGAAAATGTTGAAAAAGCTCAAGAGAAGATGCAAGAGTACAATAAGTCTATGTTAAGTTACAACAACCAAAAGCAAGACGATGAAAATGTTGAAAAAGCTCAAGAGAAGATGCAAGAGTACAATAAGTCTATGTCAGCTTACAACAAGCAAAAGCAAGACGATGAAGAGGTTGACAAAGCTCAACAGAAGATCCAAGAGTACAATAAGTCTACGTTAGGTTACAATAGGCAAAAGCAAGACCATGAAGAGGTTGACAAAGCTCAATAGAAGATGTAAGAGTAAAATAAGTCTTTCTGAGTTTACAACAAGCTAAAACAAGAAGATGAAGATAACGACAAGAGAACAATTCAGTAAGCCTGTAAGATTGGTGTGAAAGACGCAAAGCCAAAGAAGCAAGAGAAGTACAAGAAGATCACAAAAGCGGTCAAAAATCAAACCAACCAATGATATCATCAATTAACTTTTTCATCTTTCTTGATGATTCTAAGATTTTGTTTAAGGAAGATCATTTCAAGTCAAAGGCTGTTGCTATGGTTGGCAAAGTCGGAGTATAGAAATGGAAAAACATGTGTGAATTCAACAAAACTTCCTACATAGACAAGTCTCAAGAGAAAGAAACAAGAGTAGCATAATTTTATGTTAGCTTAAAACAAGCAAAACCAAGACAAAGAAAAGAACAACAAGAGAACATATGAGGAAGGGAGTAAGGCTATTGTGAAAGACTCAAAGCAATGGAAGTCCAAGAAAGATGTCAATAACTAAACCAATCAAAAAGATGACTAAAGTACTTTTTCATTTTTCTTGATGAGTTCTAGCTATCATAAGCCAAAGGAGAACAATGAAGGGAACAACAAGGGAATATGTGAAGAATCGAGTAACATTGTTGCGAAAAATGCAAAGCCAAAGAAGCAAGTGTGAGCACAAAACTGTGCTCACATGTCTTTTCACCCTTATGAGAGTTAAAATTTTGGATTTAAGCTCTTGCAAAATTATGCTTGGGGTTTTTCTGAAAGTTTTGTCAAGATTAGGAGTTGGTGTGATGATTAGGGGGCAAAAGGTGCGGAAGGGGGCCTTCGGGGCAAGGTCTTCGGCGAACTGACTTCGGTGAAGTCCCTTCGGGGAAAGGCCTTCGGCGAAACAGTGAAACCCTCATAACGTTTTCAATGTGTGATGCCTTGACTCAGTTAGTGTCTTGTTGGAAATAGCTTGCAACGCTAGTTCCAACGAGATCAAAGACTTTTGAAACGGATAAGGCGTCACTGAGTTATGAGCGTCGAAAGCGGCTGACATGGTTAGGCGAAAGGCCTTCGGCGATAACAGATAGAAGGTCCTTCGGCCCAAGGAATTGCAAGTAGGAAGCTTGTGCATAGGCGAGTTGCGCGTAGGCGGGTTGCGGATAGGCGGGTTGCGCGTAGGCGGGTTGCGAGTAGGAAGCCTGTGCATAGGCAAACGCCTTTGGCGGAAGAGTAAAACAATGATAACTTTTTCAATTCTTAACGGTTTGACTTAGTTAGGGGCTCGTTTGAAAGAGCTCAACACGCTCGTTCCAACGAACCCAAGAACGTTTCAAACAAAGCAGGGATGTGTGAGTTATGAGCGTCGGGGATGACTGTTATAGACAGTCAAAGGTGCGGAAGAGTGTCTTCAGCGGGAGGATGCCTTCAGCGGTGCGCGGAAGAAGATTTCGGACGGCGGATGTTAGCGTGGTCATGAATGAAGACTGTACAGGTGTGGCAGTGGCGGCGGCGTGAAGTCAAGCGTGGGAAATAGGACGGCGGGGCATGAAGTCGCACATGGGAACCACGCCGTTGCCCATCATCGCGGGAACGGCATTCAAGCGGCCTGCGGGCAACTCGGCCCTTGGACGTTGGAGAGGATTATTTGGCCTGCGAGCTGGTATCGTGTGGTGTGCCATTGTGTGGAGACGTAGGTGGGATCTGTAGGAGAAATAGAGTGTGGATGTGGGTGATTTTCGCAGGGAAGTGGTGAGAATTAGGAGGGGAGTGTGGAGAGTTCGAAGTAGGAGGAAGCAAACTCTCGTGGGTGGAGAGTCGTATCTGAGAGTGAAATCAAATTGGGATTCGAGATTGAAGTGTAAAATCTGTGAGTGGGAGCTGAGATTGAAGTGTAAAATTTGTGAGTGGGAGCTGAGATCGAAGTGTAAAATTTGTGAGTGGGAGTTGAGATCGAAGTGTAACTGAGACTGAAATCTGACAGTCGGGATCTGACTTTGAAACTGAAAAGGGAGAGTTGAATTTGAGAGAGGAATCTGGTGAGGTCTGAAGGTGGAAGCTGAGAAATCGACATTGAAATCTGAGTAGGAATTGGGAGTGGGACTCGGAGCTAGGATAGACCACAGCGGCTGTGGTATTGAGAAAGTCACCCAGAGTTGGGTTAGATCTTTATGTAACAAAGAGCTTGTCTACTGCTCTTGTGGAAATAGCAGACCGCAAGTTATTATTTTCAGTTCTGGATAGTTTGTCTGTGAAAGAGCAAGTGTTTATGATCTCATTGTCTTGAATACACTTTGACCACATGGTTGAGATCAAAGAAGTTAGATTATGGGAGCTCGAACCCCCACCTGGACTACAAACGCTGAAGGGTGGGGAGTTTAGGCTCACAGCAAGTAAACTTCAAGAAGGTGACGAGAGCTACCAAGAACCACACCAACTAAAGAGAATAACAATTGAATCTTTCATCTTTCTACATGAGTTCAAGAAGTATTTTAAGGAAGATCATTTGAAGTAGAAGTATGTGCCATTGTTGGTACATGCGAAGCAGACAAATGGAAAGACATATGTGAATTCAAGAAAACTTTCTACATTGACAAGACTAAAGAATAGATGGAAGAATGCGATAGATCTATCTGCTTATGACAAACAAAAGCAGTAAAATGAAGAGATTAACAAGACTAAACATAAAATGCTAGCTTACAATAAGTCTATGTCAACATACAACAAGCAAAAGCAGGACGATGAAGAGATTGACAAGACTCAACATAATATGCAAGAGTACAATAAGTCTATGTCAACATACAACAAGCAATATTAGGACGATGAAAACATTGCCAAGGCTCAACATAAGATGCAAGACTACAATAAATCTATGTCAATATAAAAGCAAGTCAATAAAGAAAACGATGAGAAATATTTGAAGCGGCAAGTAGGATTGATATGAAAGACACTAAGACAAAGAAGCAACAAAAGTTGAAGAAGCTAGCATAAGCAAGCAAGAAAACATTTGAAGAGGCAAGTATGATTGATATGA